AATAACAACAAGAAGAAAATACACATGACTTTTGTAGAATTGTGTTTGGCTTGAGACGTGGGGATAGATTTTAGTTTGCAGCTGTGGTTTTAGACCTAAACAGCCCCCAAACGTCAAAGTTAGCCGATGTCCCAGTTCCCCCCCCCCCCTCCCCGCCGGTGAGAGTAATATGAGTGCTGCTGCACTAGAATGGAATAGGAGCTGACCTGTAGGGTCTAGACAACACAGTGCGACTGAAACCCCAACGCCTTACGCCAAAGGTTTTTTCCCGAAAGTATGTGCTTTCCTCCTATTTCAATTAGCGGGACCCACAGTTAGAATCGGCAGATGCACGCTTGTCCGGCTTTAAACCGCAATCTTAGCGGGGGAGCGGGGTTTGGGGGGAACCTGGGAAGTGTTGGGCCTGGAAATCGGGAACTTTCAAGGGTTGAGGGCTGAAACATATGGCGGGGGGGGGGGTTGTTTCGGGTTCAAACCGGACAACTGTGCATCTGCCGATGTTCTAACTGTGGGTCCCGTGAATTGAAATTGGAAGAATACACACGCTTCCTGACAATCAGTTTTGGCTTAAGGCGTGGGGGGTTCAGTTGCAGCTGTCTTGTCTAGACCAAGAGGTCAGCTTCCTATTCGTTTCAAGTGCGGCAGCACGCACTTTTACTCGCACCGGGGGTGGGGTGGGGGGGTGCGAACCAGGGAAGTGTTGGGCCTGGAACTCGGCAACTTTCAGATTGGGGTGTAAAACCATGGGCGGAACGTTTTTGTTGAAATAGGCTTGAAACTTTTGGGTTTGTTCAGGGTTAATGCTAGAGGGCTACAACATCTGGAGGGGGATTGTTTAGGGTTCAACCCGGGCAACCGTGCATCTGGCGATGTTCTAACTGTGTGCCCCGTTAATTTAAACAAGAAGAAACCACATGCCTTTTGTAGAATTGTGTTTGGCTTGAGACGTGGGGATTTTAGTTGCAGCTGTGGTTTTAGCCCTAAACAGCCCCCAACGTCAAAGTTGACGATGTCCCAGGTTCCCCCCCCTTCCCGCCGGTGAGAGTAAAATGAGTGCTGCTGCACTAGAAAGGAATAGGAAGCTGACCTGTAGGTCTAGACAACACAGTGCGACTGAAACCCCAACGCCTTACGCCAAACCGTGTTTTCCCCGAAAGTATGTGTTTCCTCCTATTTCAATTAGCGGGACCCACAGTTAGAACATCGGCAGATGCACGCTTGTCCGGCTTTAAACCGCAATCTTAGTGGGGGGAGTGGGGTTGGGGGGGAACCTGGGAAGTGTTGGGCCTGGAAATCGGGAACTTTCAAGGGTTGAGGGCTGAAACATATGGTGGGGGGGGGGGTTGTTTCGGGTTCAAACCGGACAACCGTGCATCTGCCAATGTTCTAACTGTGGGTCCCGTGAATTGAAATTGGAAGAATACACATACTTCCTGAAAATCAGTTTTGGCTTAAGGCGTGGGGGGTTCAGTTGCAATTGCGTCGTCTAGACCTAGAAGTCAGCTTCCTATTCGTTTCAAGTGCGGCAGCACTCGTTTTACTCTCACCGGGGGTGGGGTGGGGGGTGCGAACCAGGGAAGTGTTGGGCCTGGAACTCGGCAAGTTTCAGGTTGGGGTTTTTGTAGCCGTGAAACTTGTGTGTTTGTGTAAGTGTAGGGTTGAGGCTAGAGGGTAACGCTATTGGCGGACTGCTCTTGTTGAACTAGGCTTGAAACTTATGGGTTTGTTCAAGGTTGAGGCCAGAGGGTTACAACATCTGGAGGGGGATTGTTTAGGGTTCAACTCGGGCAACCGTGCATCTGGCGATGTTCTAACTGTGTGCCCCGTTAATTTAAACAAGAAGAAAACACATGCCTTTTGTAGAATTGTGTTTGGCTTGAGACGTGGGGATTTTAGTTGCAGCTGTGGTTTTAGCCCTAAACAGCCCCCAACGTCAAAGTTGCCGATGTCCCAGGTTCCCCCCCCTTCCCGCCGGTGAGAGTAAAATGAGTGCTGCTGCACTAGAAAGGAATAGGAAGCTGACCTGTAGGTCTAGGCAACACAGCGCAACTGAAACCCCAACGCCTTACGCCAAAGGTTTTTTTCCCGAAAGTATGTGTTTCCTCCTATTTCAATTAGCGGGATTTATAGTTAGAACATCGGCAGATTCACGCTTGTCCGGCTTTAAACGCAATCTTAGCGGGGGAGTGCGGCCTAGAAATCGGGAACTTTCAAGGGTTGAGGGCTGAAACATATGGTGGGGCGGGGGGGGTTGTTTCGGGTTCAAACCGGACAACCGTGCATCTGCCGACGTTCTAACTGTGGGTTAGCGGGGCCCACAGTTAGAATATCGGCAGATGCACGCTTGTCCGCTTGAACCCCAAACAGCCCGCCTCCGTGCGTTCTAGCCTTCAACTCTCAACGCTGAACAAACCCGAAGTCAGCTTCCTATTCCTTTCTAGTGCGTCAGCACTGTTTTTAATCTCACCAAGAAGCGGGGGGGAACTGCGAAGCGTCCGGATTGGAATTCGGCAGCTTTCAATAATAAAAGGGTTGAAACACATGGAGGGGGGTTTGTTTAGGGTGCAATCGTGCATCTGCCGACGTTCTAACTGTGGGCCCAGTCAATTGAAACTGGAAAAAAACATGCTGTTTGAAGAATGGTTTCTAGCTTACCGCGAAGGGGGGGGGGGGGGCGTGAGAATAGAATGAGTGCTGCCGCACGAGAGAGGAACAGGAAGCCAACCTTTAGCCTCCCCATGAATGCTGCCGCTCTAGAAAGGAATAGAAAGCTGACCTCTAAACAACACAGATGCAACTGAACCCCCCGCGCCTTAAGGTAAAAGTCATTCTTCAATAAACATGTGTTCTTCCCTGTTTTAGGGAATGAGGCCCAGAGTTGTAGGCTTGAAGCTTCGGAGGGAGGAGGGCTAAGGACCGCAGGAAGACTTCTCGTTTTGGGCAAGGCTGTAGCTTCCAGCTATTGAATTGCATGTAATATGGTTAAACTTTGCTGCCCGCCAATGTCCATACATCCCCCCCCAATGTTCTAACTCTCAATGCCGCAACTGGCCAGGGATGCAAACATGGGGCTCGCGCGATGTTTTAAGTCGAAATACGGCGAGACTTTTGCATTTTTTGACCTGGATGTTCTAACTGCTACTCGATTTTTTGGTTTAACTACCCACAGGTGTGACGTTCTAAGGCACGTTTGGTGAATTGTCGATGTTCTAACTTGAAGTCCGTCACTATAATGTAATGTAATGTAATGTAATGTAATGTAATGTATGTATGTATGTGTGTATGTAAGTTTGTATGTATGTCTGTATGTATGTATGTATGTATGTATGTATGTATGTAATGTATGTATGTATGTATGCTTGCATGTATGTATGTAATGTAATGTAATATAATGTAATGTAATGTAATGTAATGTAATGTATGTATGTATGTGTGGTAGGTAGGTAGGTAGGTAGGTATGTATGCATGCCTGCATGAATGTATGTATGTAATGCATGTATGCATGTATGCAATGTAATGTAATGTAATGTAATGTATGTAATGTATGTATGTAATGTAATGTAATGTAATGTAATGTAATGTAATGTAATGTAATGTAATGTAATGTATGTATGTATGGTAGGTAGGTAGGTGGGTATGTATGCATGCCTGCCTGCATGAATGTATGTATGTAATGCATGTAATGCATGTATGCATGTATGCAATGTAATGTAATGTAATGTAATGTATGTATGTATGTATGTAATGTAATGTAATGTAAAGTAATGTAATGTAATGTAATGTAATGTAATGTATGTATGTAATGTGATGTAACTTAAAGTAATGTAATGTGATGTTGTGTAATGTAATGTATGTATGTATGTCTGTATGTCTGTATGTATGTATGTATGTATCCTTGCACTTCCCCTTTGCTCCCCAGTATTTCCCGCAAAAAACACTGTTTTTCCAGCGTTTTCGCAAAGATGATGTCCAAAAACACAGGGTTTTTCCAGATTTTCGGCAAAAGGATGCAGGAAGCCCAAGCCAGCAAAAAAGCCGGCAGGGGGAATCGAGCCTGGGACCCCTGTTTTGCGACACCGGGTCCCCGAAGACTACGTTTAGTGGAACGTCATCAAATTGCAGCGGTCCTTGGGGCCCCCCCCCCCCCCCACGTATCAGACGTCGGGTGGGGGGGGGTTAACGGTTAGGGGGGGGGTTATCCTCTATCCTCTCTTAGGTGTCCGACACGCCGAGCAATGTCGGCGGATTTGGGGGAGCCTACCATTGACAAGTTGAAATGTTCAGGTGTCTTTCATGCATCCGGATCCCTGCTTATGTCAGCATGTCCTGAAGCCCATGATCCTGGGAGCATGGGGGGGCTTATTCATGGTTGTTGTTGGAAAACATGTTTTTTTGTTTCACATTTTTGCTTATTGTGGTTTAGTGGTTGAAATCCAACCACTTAACTGCTACAATTTATTTGTTTGCTCCCCTTCCAACGTCAAAAAAGTATTGGCAATCTCCCACACGTAGGGTGCCTCACTCAACGTATCATGTCCTCTTGGGGGCACCCGTAACTTTCGCTCAAGTGGCGCCAGAACAAGTATCTAGTGCCATCTTCCCCATTCTTTCCAGGGATCCGAAGCTTAGAAAACCTCCGAAAACCCCTGGGCCAAGCGGATCCGGCTCTTCAAGCGAAGGATGATTGAACAGAACACCCATTGCCCAGTGGCGCCCCTTGTTTCCTTTGGGAAGTGTTCCCTTCGAAACTCAACCAAACAAGGACGCCTTGTTTTCCCACCCAGAGGCTCCGATCGGCTTCGGCTTTCAATGGACCCGACCCCTCCATTACACCCCGGCGCCCTAAACACATCGCATTGGAGCCTCTGGGAAGAGTATGTTTGTTTTCGCCTCTTTGTTTTAAAGGGAATCTATGACTACTGATGGAAGCTTAGCTGAGGCTGAGGCAAGGGAAATCCACTGGGCATCTGAGAGAATGGGAACGAACGCGCGAGCCAGAGGCGCCAGAGGCGCCAGAGGCGCCAGAGGCGCGGCTTCACGTGTCGCACATCCGCGCGAGCAACAAGGATGCAGCACCCTGGAGCGAAATAAACGGTCCAGGACTATTGAACTTTGGTGCATCTTGCCAAGGGATGTTAGGACTTTAACTGTTTGCCAACTCACGGGTTTTCCGAATTAACAGTTAGTCACTTTTAGCAAGGGAACAGAAAGCAACCGAGTAAACCCGTCCCATTATTAGGGGGGTGTTCCCGCCAAAGGTGATGAATCTGCACTAAAAGGGGACACCCCCCTATTAATCAACCAGGCGTTTATTTATCCGGTGTTAACATTAAACAGTCGGCAAATCGGCAATGCCCTGCCTAAAGGACCCAGAAATAATCGGCGAAACCGTTTGACACGACTTAGACTGGAAGAAGGGGACTCACTCGTCCAAAGCGAATCGGCCTGACATGATCCTTGCTTGGGCTTTCCGACCTTTGGAACCTATTTTCAGTCACGACCCCAACAGATTCTGACATTCAACTCCGTGCATAGGTCGGAGACATCGCTACAGGGAAAACTTTCGGGGAAACCTGAGGTGAGTTCCGCTTCTATCTCTCGTTCAGGAGTCCTCACTCCCTGAGTTCCTGGACTTTGGGTTTGGACCAGTTTACTTGGTGGTTCCCAGCCATCCGGTTCCTTAGCTTTTTAGATCCTTTTAGTGTTTAGTCGGGATTTCCGAATTTGACCCACTCAAAGTTCGTCACTTTTAGCGGATCTGAAAACGGACAGCCCAGTTGAGTGACAAAGACCAAATGGAGACGTTCCACTGTGTCGGAAGTGAGACACTTCGCCGTAGGGTGATCCAAGTCACAAGCGTTTGGACAAGGCACCTGTTAGGTTCTTGGACATGAAAAACCCCGTAAATAGGTCAGAGACATCACTACACGAAAATTTATCCAAGCCTTGTCAGAGGAAAAGGGAACAATCAAGTCACACTCAGGCGGATGTCACCTTTCGCTTCTTCCATTTGGGGCCTATGGCGCCCACGTCCGGCGCCAGCCACTCGCCAAAGGAAACAAATCTTTAGATTGCTTCGACAGGCAGGGAATGGGGAGTGGAATGCCCCCGAACAGAATCCAACCGAGATGGCTTCCTTCATTCGGCAAACGGTTCGTTCAACACCTTGAAGTTGGATGGGTTGTCTCAAAATGACTTGGGAGTATTTTTTGTGGTACCCCTCCAATCCTGGTTTCTGGGGGGGGGGGAAAAGTCAAAAACCATCCGTACCCGTTTCGGGGTAGCGGGTGGGTCGCATTTTTGTTGAGCTCCCTTGTTTTTGAGACAAGGCCACTGCGACATTCAACCCACGTCAGGTAATACTGGCTATAAAGGAACTGACCTCGATCTCCTTCAGAAATAGCCTAGTTCCACATCCAAGCAGGCGACACGATAACAGTTGGTTTTGTCTTTCTGCTGCCTTCAGCACCGACAAAGGGCACAGGCACACACACACACACACACACGCGCGCGCGCGCGCGTTCAAATAGGGAAATCAATGCCGTGTTGAGACGAGTCTAAAAAAGCGTGAAATGAATCACACTGAACGGGAGGCTACGCAGCCCAGCAAGTTAAAAACCCCAAGAGGGGTGCTGCAAGATATTTCTGGGTTGCTCCTTTTAGACCCTGGCTAGATGATCTGGGACTTAGCTTAGTGGTTAATAACCCTGGTTGCAACAGATCCCCTTCAAATGATGCCTAGAGGATCCATTTATTTGTATAATAGATGTCCATCGGCTTGTCACCAGATATAGCCGGACATGTTGTGGTACGTGAGCAGTACCGGTGTTGTTGCTACAGATTCCGGTTGGGAGCTTTACAGGGGTCCGTCTCTCCAAAGGAGGTTGCTTAAAAAAGCACCATGTCGGACTACCTCTGTCGAATTGGCACCATTTTGTGGGGTGTTGGTTCCTTTTCCCCTTTCAAGGGTCAAATGAAGCATAAGGCAAAGCACATGCCACCCGTTTCTGGGGCAACGATGCTTCTTGCTGCTGTTCGGCTGACATGCCTTAGACCAAGTGTAAGTTGAGGGTGAGCCAGTTGGGCCAAAATCGGGAACACTGTGCCCCTTTCTCGGACTTTGCTTTAAAGGAAATCCGACAATTGCGTGGTTTCCTTTGTGTTCGGTCTTATTTATGCTATCTGTTGTTGCAACTGCCGAAAGTGAGGTGCTGGGAAGCTTGGCAGCACTGTGGCCGGGTGGTGAGGTCGACCTCCCCCGTGCTTTGTTTTTGGTGGATGCCAAACATGAATCCTACTGTGGATGGACGGATTCCTGCACCACTTCGAAACCATGGGAAACCATTGTTCATTGGCATTTACAGGGGAATCACCAACTCAGGGTGTCTCAGGTGGTGCAGGATTTCGTCCATTCACAGTATGGTTGTCAAGGCCTTACCCCTTCCCGTGCCGATTTCCCAATCCTAGCAAGTGCGATTTGAGCGGCTCCTAACTAAGAAGGCCGTTTTGTGGGCCCATGCGCTTCCTTTGGGTGCCTTTTTTGGGAGGGCCGACATCCGTGGGAATAAATGAGCGTGGTCACTTGGCAAGGCTTGAGCAGGTCTAACCCTGAGAGTAGTCACTCTCATAGTGGCAGACTTCTCGAATGATACTGTGGATGGACGGAATCCTGCACCACTTCCAAACCATGGGCAACCATTGTTTATTTGCATTTACAGGGGAGGGTTCTTAGTGGTGCAGGATTTCGTCCATCCACAGTATTAGCTTTCCCGCCCTGTGGAATATGGAAGGTGGGCTTTCAGAAGTCATGTGCAATCCCATTCGCCCTAATGTTGAACCCCGGTTCATCAACCCCAGTTTATTCATAGGTCCAAAACAGATGATTCCCCACGAAACCCAGGGACACCCCCCTTATTGATCAACTGGGGTTGATTAGTATGGGGTCAACAGCAAAGCTCCCCACCTCCCGAACCTGCTTTGGATTCTCCCAGGGACGTTTCGATCTAAGGAAAATCACCATGGGTTTCGATCTATCTTTGGACCCCTGTCTTGCGATTGAAGTTGCCTTTTTAGTGTATTTAAGGCTTCCTTTTTTGGCAGGATAAGGTGGAATCAGATTTGCATGGCTGTAAATGTTAGTAGGGAACCACCGCAAAGGTGGATCAGTAGTGCCCTTTCACCATTTTTTTTGGGGGGGAGGGTTCCCCTACTAAAATAGACTACAGAAAAAAGTTGGTACCCTTATTCTAACCTCTCTACTGGAGGACCTAGACCAAATTCAACATAGCTACAAGCCTAAGGCTCTAGGGGCTTGGTACGCAGAACCTGGGCGTCCCCATACCACACCCCCACTTGCCTTCGGGGTCTCAAACCAAGGTGTCTTGGAGCCCCAATATCCATCAGGAGCCTTAGGGAAGCAAGAAACAAATCAACTCGCGAATCCAGTAAACAAAAATCGGAACGGCGAGCGCTGCGAGGAATCACCTGGGGCGGCTCTTTCACCAGCCGGTGCTGGTCACCTCGCTGGCGCCCGGCGAGATGCCACTCGGCAACCCGTGTCAACCCGCCGGGCTGGGGCCGTTGGAGTGGGTGAGGGCATGGCTGCCGGCCAACACTCCGGCACTGTGCTTGGATCAAGGTGTTTGTGTTTTGGTTTTCTGGCTGTTGTTGGTCCTGCTTTTCTTTTGGGCTTGTTGTTCTCTTTTGTTTTGGTTTGGTTCTGTTGCTTTTTAGGTTTGGGGGCTGCCAAAAAACGCGGACTCGGCCTTTGGCACGCCCCCAAGGGTTGCGAAGAAACGATGTCAGAGTTCCCACTCCGCCCCCTAGAAAAGGAGCAAATACCAGCCAGAAGTGGTTCCGAAACAAACATACACCCAAATGTGCTGAATTCCGTTTCGGACTTCAATCAGACAGTTTGGAGTTTTTCTGGCCAATCCACTCAAAGTGAGTGTTAAGGTTGCTAAACATGAAACAGAATCTGAACATAGTTTATGGGGCGGTCCCAGAGTTTCTCTTGGGTGAAGGAAAGCACAAATACAACCAGGGTGGGGGCATGCTTTCCAGCTCTGGGGATCGGTGTTTGCAAAGTCGGTCTGGCCGGGTACCCAAAAAGCAGGTGGTTTCGCTTGTCGTGGCCCCTAAAGGAAGCCAGCGAGCCACTGAGTGAGAGGTTGGCTCGGGCTACTGTGAAAACTTGCCTGGTGGTTTCCCTTCTTCGCGGCCCAAAGCCTGGGTTCATGCCATTTCTCCCTTCCTGTGGCACCGATCGCAAGATAGAGGACCTTGTGCTTGTCTCCTTTTGATTTGATTTTGTTCGTTTGGTTTGGGTTGGTTTTGGTTTGGTTTGGTTGGGTTGGGTTGGGTTTGTTTGGTTTGGGTTGGTTTGGTTTTGTTTGGTTTGGTTGGGTTTGGTTTGTTACTTTGTTTGCTCTTTGTTTTGTCTTGCCCCAAGCGTCGGGCCAAAGACTCGCCAGGCGCAATGTGGCGCTGGAAGTGCGGCGTGAAGAAGCCGAAGAAGAAGGCCGCGCCGAAGTGGTTTTGGATTCTTCCATGGGCTTAATAATATCTTTTGTTTTGCCCCTGGTGGTTTTAAAGGGAATCTAGCACTATTGGACATATGTTTTTTTTTTTTTTTTTTTTAAGGGGGGCTTAGGCAAATGGAAGGAGTTGGATTGAAGCCTTCGGCCCTTCCTTTCTTGTGGACGGCCATATGGCACACCATCCCCTGACCTCGAAGCCAAACAAATCCAAACCACCAACTGGACAGAAGTTGGTTCAAAGGATTGTCTGCTTGGATGGGAATCCTTGACCCTGATACCAAGTCCGGGGTGCGACTCCCCCCCCCCTTTTTGAACAACTCAGATTTGCGGGGCGCGTTAGTTACTCAGTGAACATGGGGAAGGGTGAATGGGCTTAACTTCCATTCCAGGGATTGCTTCCCCCTTCTTTCCAGGGATCCGAATCTTTTCAGGAAACCATTCAAACCCCAGGTGGAAACAGATCGGTTTTGGAAAAGAACGGATGGTTGAAAAGAATGGAAAAGGAATCAACCCCTAGATCCCTGATTTCCAGCAATCAGGTCATCCCGAACTTTGAGCAGGTGATCCCTAATCCTCCCCCTGTTTTTTTAGTTGCAAGTGTCATCCATGGGGGGTTTATCGCTGTACCTCCCTCGCCGAGTCCCTGGACTTCAAACAGGCTTTTCTCGCAATACCCAGTGTTTCTTTCGTTCACTAAACTTTTTGCTATTCGGAGGACCGTAGTAGTGCTAAACACGGCTTGTTGAGCCAATCCGCTGGATCGGAAGTGAAAATAACACGATGCCAATCCGCTTGCTTGTGCTTGCAGGCCGAGGTGCAGAGGACAGCGAGAGCTGCCAAGCAGCATGGGTCAAGTTGCTGGTCCGGGCTTTGAGGGTGCGCAATCCGTTTCGCAGCTCCTAAGAAACCATGGCAATGAAACCAGAAGCTTTGTTGGTATTTATGTTGGGGACTCATCAGACACCAGGGTTTCGTCGATTCTTAGGTGCTGCGAAATGGTTTTGTCCACGGACCACGGATGCTGTTTTTGTCTAATATGAGCCGGGGTTTCTGGAAAGCTCCATGCGCTGTTTCGGGACACAGCACGGTCGTTAGCAGCAGTTACAGGACCGGCCTTCTTTGTGGTCGCCTCAACAAGCCGACTTCATGCGAGTCGCCTTTAGTGGGATTTACGCAACGGGCCCCTGACAGACGTGCTGCAAATTCTGCAAACCTCCTTAGAAGACTCGAATCTGTTTAGTGTGTTTGCTACGCGGCACCTTGAGCACGTAGTCCTTTATTAACTTGTTGGAAACACGTATACTTTCCCAGGGGCAAGCAGCTCTATGCTGGAGGCACTTTTCATCAGGCTTTACTCAAAAATGGTCAAGGATTTTGTCCATCCGCAGTGCAGGGTTCCTTCATGTTCCTTTAAAGTGGCAGTTTGAAGGGACACCACGAGTAAATTGATCGTGCCATTGAGGTGAATTCTTCGAGATAGTTGTGGAGGCTCCAACTGGCAGCACAGACGCATAGCTGCAGCTTCAGTGACATGGGTTGTTCAAAGAGCCTGTGGGACCTGGGACTCCTTGTGGTTTTGATTGCTATTGGGTAACGGATCTTTAGACTTTAACTTTTGGGATGACACCTCTCGGCAACAGTTATACTTTTTGCAGAGGGCCAACAGTAACCAAGTGCTTACCCCCTGGACAAAAGCAGTGGGTGTCCATTTCTTCGGTTTCCCGATGAACAATAGACAAGCAACAACTCCAAAAGGGCTACCCGCAAAAAGCGCACCCATGTCAGGTGGAGTCATGTTGTAAACATACACGCATTTTGAGGCCTTGTGTGGACTGTGGATTCTGCATCGCTCTGGGGGTAAAACAAGCTCATTCCCTGAAATTCTCATTTTGAGGGCGCTACCGTGTTCTTGTCGCAGAAAAGTGGCGTTTAGGTGGCCATATCGCCTTTTTTTGCACGGAACAAATCCCCTTTTCCAGAGACATCCAGTAGTCATTGGGATGGGCTTGAATCCCAACTCACTTCCCGAGTTCCGGTTTTGGACGTTGTTGTTTTGGGGTTGGACCGTTTTGGTGGCAAATGAAAAGTTCCAGGACTTGTTTGGCCAATCCTTCCGGAAGTGAGCCAATGAACGGCGCCTCACTTTTTCCAATGTAGACACTCGACTCAGTTGACCCGACCTGACATACTTGGGGGTCGAAGAATCTTGAGGATTCCAGGATGTGTCTCGTTTTAAATCTGTGCAGTATCATTTGATATGAATTATTGTTGATTGGTGCACGGTTTGCCCCGTTCCCCATGTGGATGTGGCAATGACCCCGAACCACAGGTGGTTGCCAGAAGATAAGTTGATTATGGTTTGTGTTTTCCCGTTTTTGCGTTCCATCAGTTTCCCTTGCAACCAGCAACAAGTTGTCACGGTCCACAGGAAAAAAAACGGTGCCTCGATGTCGAAGGTCTGCAACGCGCGAGACTTCCAATCCATCTCGTACGAGGGCGGCTTGTGAGGACAGGCCGCTTCACCCGGTTCCAGATGCCTTCCAAAGCGAATGCTCTCCGTATCTTTGGTTCACTTTGCCAAGGGATGTTAGGACTTTAACTTTCTGCCCACGAATGGGTTTGCCGTATTAATCCCCTAATAGTATGGGCTTTTGGCGGTAGGCTTTCCATTAAACCACCGAACTACTGGGTTTTTTGCCCTAAAAGTTAAACTCACTTTGAGCCGGGCTGAAAGCAGATGTCGCCACCGCGGTATGTGGCCAAACCGCGGGGCTCCGAACCACGGCTTTTAGACTCACTTCCTGAGTTCATGAACTTTAAACTTTTTGGGTATTTTTTTGGGGCCATCCACTCAGCCAGTTAGAGGGAAGCTGAGTGAAGGTCAAGGCCGGAGGGACGAGGGCGCCTGGGACACGAGACGGAAGAGTCGGCCGAGCGCGGCCGAAGACGCGAACGCCGCGAACGCCGCGGAAGCGCAAAAAAGAGAAGCCCGAGTTGAGGGGGAGCCAGCTTAGCATGCCTTCCACTAAACCACTACCTCCAGAAGGTTGAATTGGAAGGAAAAAGCACATTCAGCTCTGTCTATCCACTCTGAGGGATGCCGGGATGCCAAGTTTGCTTTTTGGCTGGGGTGGCTTGGCGGTTTGGAAATCGTTTCAGCGAAATCTGAACCCAACACCCATGAACTGATTGGATTTCGGTTGACGTGGCGGAAGCGGGGGGCAGATCTGTGTAGATTTCCCATTGCCAAACAACCCTTGGAACGTGTCAAGGAAATGTCCAGGCGGGGAATGCAGGGCCAAACAGAAGCATGTTTTTTTTTTTTTTACCGAGTCCTCTAAAACATCAAAGGGGCCCTCAGGTGGCAGACAGCTCCCCCAACCCCTAGCCTGAAGTGTAGCTCAGTGTGAACTCAGGGTCAAGACACTAAGAGGGGGTGGGCAAACCCCCAGTCCCCCCCCCCCCCCTAGTTTAGCATCCAGCATTTTGTGAAAGGGATCACCTCCTTAATGGAAATGGTGCAAGGGGGTGACCCCTGGAAATCCATTTCTGGTTCCATTTTCCGTTTATCAAGACTAGATCAATGGAGTTAGGGACCATGTTTTCCCCCCTACTGTGGATGGGCTGTTGGGCTGTTGGGCTGTTGGGTGTCAGGGTTGTTTGACTGTGTTCGTGATTAAGGTTTGTGGTTGGGTTGTTCTTGGGTTGTTGGGCTACCGGGTTGTTGACCATTTTTTCCATTTTTTTTCTTAGGACTCTGCGCCTTGGGACTCGGAACTCGGCGCCTCAGGCTGCGGGCCAGTGGCGGCGATCCTTTTGATTGCCCGGCGCCCGGTTAAAAATCTTCCCGATGCTGAGCCACGGGCTCGAAACCGATTCGGGTAGATGAAGGTCGGTAAGGGACAATCCCCTTGCCATAAATAGCCGCGGATATCCGCCTTAATTCTTTACATGGTTCTGGGTCAGCCATTGTAATACCAGGTTTTGATGGTGACTCAGCTGGGCTCAGGTGCTTCGACTTGCCCGGTTTTTCAGCCGTGGCGCCAGAAGGTTTACCTAGGTCCCCCGGCTAGGTGCCCTTTTACCGACTTGTTTTTGTTTGGGAGGGTTCCCCTCTTAAATTCGACTACAGAACAAAAGGGCACCCTTATTCTAACCTCGAACTACTGGAGGACCTAGTTTGCTTTTGCTTCACTGTTCTTGGCAAGTGTTTAGGTTTTTGGTTTCTTGGTTCTGTTCATTTTCAGTAAAAGGCTGCAAGGAATGAAGTTTGTTGCAAGCCCATACCTCGCACGCGCTGGCTGAGCAAGTTGAGGTTTGTTCGGCCAGGTTAGTCCGGGGATATCCCATTGAGATCACCTTGGCAAATGCATGCTTGTTGTTGTTGTTGTTGTATGTTTTTTTTCGGTTCTTTTTTTTTTGGGGGGGGGGTGCTCTTTGTTGGTGTGAGTTTATCCTAAACAGGAAAAGCCAGGGACGCATTGTTTTTTGGTTCTCATGTGGATACGCCCTGGATAGGCCCTGTATCCAAGCAGTGGCTTCCAGCACCGGCCCGAGGACTTCCATCATGCGCTGGGGCCAGTCATCGAGTTGGCGGCTCAGGTTGGGCCAGACGGGTGGCAAGCCGCCCCCAAAAATCCGGGCCGGAGGTCTTGGCAGGCGGTTTCCAGCCATCCGATCGTAGCTTTTTAGTGGTTTGTAGGTGGTTTCGTGGGGATGCCCACATACCTCGCTAGAGTTAAACTTTTAGCAGGAGATTCGAGGACAGCGCAGATTCAGCAATGAATTTTAAGAGTTGGAACCTCAAAAGTGGTTGGACATTTTATCCACCCTACTTCAAGGCCTCAGAAATGGAAACGTGTCACGAAACCGGGTTGGTGGGAGGTCTTTCAGGGGGTCCCAAAAGCCGAACCCCAGCGAGCTGCCATTCATTTGGGCACCTGGTGCACGTCGCCAAAGAAGTCGGTTTCAGCCCGTCAGGCTGCGAGGTTCCATTTGGAGGCAACACACTGACTGGTGCGATAGGCAGGGAATGAGAAATGGAATGACCCAATTGAACCATTCAACTAGTGTTTTTTTCTTTCAGGGAACCCCCAGGTTCATTTCCTCTCGTTCCCTACTTATCGCACCGCACGTGCCCTGAAGCTGAGGTGGTCCCATCCACCGGTCGGGGCCTCAGCGTTTATGCACAAGAATGACTTTCCGGCTTTGGGTTGGCATACGGTAAATCGATCGATGTGTTGGGTGACTTTTTGCTGGGGTTCGGTTGGGCTTAGGTCAAATTTCGGTTAGGTTTTGGGGTGGGTTTATGTGAGTTTGTGGACGCGTTGCCGCTTTTTGGGACCCTTTTGGTACCTGACTTTATTTTGGCAGGGTGATGTTGAAGAAGATATAAGGGGCCCGGTTGTGATACTCCCTCCCTGAGTTCCTGGACTTTAGTCACTTTTTGTGAAGGTCATTGTGGTGGTACGCCAAAAGCTCGGTGACTTTCTTGGGCCATCGCTATGGGAAGTGAGCTTCGCGCAGATCTCGTTGGTGATTTGTGCCAGGTCTTTGGGCCGCGGGGTGTCAACTGGGCCCCAGCCCCGCACCACAGATGTGGCTGTGGGCGCGAAAAAGTTGGGGGGGGGGGGGGTTAGGGGGGGTTTAGGGGGCCCCAAATGGTTTCTGGGCAAATAGAAACGAAGACCAAGACCTGCATTTGCCCCTGGTCCAACCCACAAACTGGGGGGGAGCTACCTCGCGAGAAAACAACACATCCCCGAGATGGTTTCCTTCGGGCACCAGCAAGTGTAGTTCCCACAAAAAAGAGGGCCCCCCAACCTATACCACTGCACGACTCTCGCTCATTCGCGTCCTTGAGGTCACAGAAAGCCCTGCTGCGCGTGAGCAGCTGAGATTGCCGATTGGGATGCGCACACGTACACCATGTGCTGTGTTTCCTTGCTTGTTCGATTGCTTGCTTGCTTGCGTGCGTGCGTGCGTGCTGGCTTGCTTGCTTGCTTGCTTGCTTGCTTGCTTGCTTGCTTGCTTGCTTGCTTGCTTGCTTGCTTGCTTGCTTGCTTTGTGTTTGTTTGGTTGCTTGTTTGGTTGGTTGGTTGATTGGTTGTTCATCCGTCCGTCCGTCCGTTCGTTTGTTTAGACATGGTGGCTGAAAGCTGAACCCCTGCAAGAATTGTTTGCACTAGGGCAAACCCAAGACACAAACAGGATACACAAGAGCTCCGCTCAACAAGATCCAGCTCAGGAGTATTGCATCTGGAGTTCACATGTGCGGATCATATGGCTCACTGTGAACGCATGAGGAAAGCCCAACACCCTACAAGTATGAGTGCACATCGTGCAAACTGCGAAAGCTGAAAATGCCCCGGAGGACCGCCCCTGGGCACTTCAATTTTGCACGGGACTCGCATAAAGGAAAACAGAAGAACGAACAGGCAAAGAGACACAGTTGCCCAAATGACCAATGATCCTCCTGTGTGTCGTGCCTTACTCCTGGTTGGGCGCAGTTTCAGTCCTTGTAACCTGTTTTGTAGGCTTCTGCACCTTTGTGAGCATACAGCCAAACATTCAGCCGGCGAGCGGTTCCCAGTCAAACCACTCTCAAACAGGTCAAATGAACCATAGTGAGCCCCACTTGGGAATAGATCAAAGCTTTTTTCTGGAATGGCGCAAATCCATTTTGCAGGTAGGACGTTACTCCAAGGGTTGTCCTCCGCACAGGGCGGACGGGCTTGGAGGGGGACTGAAGTGACCATCACCCTAAAGAGTGCCCAGGCAACATTCTATAGGAGTTCAAGAGGGAAGCCAAGTGAAAACCACACTTGTCATTTACCCTCCCGCCAATAAACGAAAGGAGCCTGACGAATTGAGGGGGGGTCCTGGAAAAAGGACAATTTTCCTTTCGCTGCTGGGTCCCTGTTAGGTTCCATGTTAGTTGGTTTTTATATATATATATATGTATCTACACACTGTAACATATGTACATATATATATATAATATATATATATACATAAGTTGTTCTTTCTGCTTTTTGGGGGGTACCCTAGTTTGACACAAACCCCCTATGATTCGCCCTGTAAACCCGCCAGCACGGTGGCAATTCTGCGACTTGAGCCCAGGTCGCGAGGACGGAACCGGAGCTGCAGACGGTCGGAAAGAAACCCTTGGCAGTTCGGGACCAGCCGTCCGGCTCCTTTTTTTTCTGGTGGTTTAGTGGTTCCATGTACTGGGCTAGACTTAGGATGCATTTTACTTTTTGCCAGTGACTCAAAGCAAATAATAGAATGGAATATACGTTCTAGAACTGAGCCTAATTCGAATGATGTTGAGGACAGTCCTTGTCGTGCCACGTGGGTCTTTGATGCTGGTAAAATAATTGAGCATGGTTCAGTCGTGTTTTCCTAAATTGATCTTGGCAACACAGGAAAGCGCCCCTTTAAATTCCGCGGGCAACGAGGCAGTTGTGTGGACACCACCCTCCTGAGATACCCACCACGTTTGGATGCATCTCCCTTTGGGGGGAGCGAATGGCTTCTTTCCATGCAATGCCATGCATGTTTTGTCGCAAGGGATTTGGACAAGGTGAAACCCAGGGAGCTGATGTTGTATCGTCTTCATTGATCGAAAATAGGGCTTGGACTATGAGTTGTGAAATCAATGGAGTCCAGCTAAAAGTGACCTTTCAAACTACTCATGTGGTCCACGGTGGCATCACGTTGCTAGTGTGATTCCTTCCATGTGCGTACTCTTGCTGGTTTCCATTTGCATCCAGCTGAAAGGGGTGCCCTCAAAATACAGACACACACACACACAAACGCCAGGGAACCAGAAATACACGGTGATCACCTTCTGGGGCCATTTTTGAAAAAAATCGCCAAAACGGGGAAACTAAAAGGTGAACAGGTCACTTCGCTTGCAGGTGAGCAAAGAACCACGCTGTGAAGGTGAAGTTTGGGCACGGCTTGATTGAAATGCCTGCCGCCTTCTGCTTGGCTGAAGCGGCTGAAATCCATCATCCGTCCAGCCAGATGCTGCATCATTGTTGCGCGGTGCCGAAGGAATCGAAGGTCCCTCGCCTCAACGAGGCTTGGCGTGCACTTATGGAGGGCCCCCAAGTCATGCCTCAAGTCGCATGGGCTGGCTGGGCCCGTAACAAGGCCTTATGAAGGGCCTTGCTTGGGCTCTTTTCCCCTCCTCTCTCCCCCGAAGCCTGAAGGACTTATAGCTGCTCTTGACATACGGAACTCATTCAGAATCGGAGAAAGCTTCATGGGTCCATCCGGCAGATCGAGCTTGGAAGATGACGAACCATGCTCATGGCTGGAGCTGGGTCTTGCCTAGGACCATGGGTATAACTGGGTCCGCAGGGATTGGCCCTAGTAAGACTGTTTTGAAATGCGCGAAGCTCATTTTACCCTCCACGTTGCCATGAAACCTCCCAGCGAAATGGCCCATGTTAAAGGAACATGGTTAACATGGACCCCCAAAAACTTCAGAAACGTCATTCCATGGCAACTTGGACAGGCTACTTTGCATTTGACCTAAACCTGCGTGCTGAACCCACATCACCACCGCCAAACGTATCTACCGCTGCCGGTCTATCTCACTCTTTCCCCTTCGGGGCTGCAATGGGGGAGGTGTGCTTGGGAGTCCCTAAAGCGGGGTCCTGGGGTTCCCTTCCTTTTAGAGCCCTTGACTGTTTAGTCAGGGCCCCACCAAAAAGGTTTGGTTGATATGAGGTGAAGCAAAAACGCGGGGAATGGAAGGATGAGAGCCCAAGATGAGATCCTTCTCAAGGAGCCCCTTGTCTTGGGGGATAAGAACCAAGGACGAAGGATGAGCGGCTCAATCGAGCCAAGTGTAATGTCAGGACCAAGGATGAGGTTCTGCCTAAGGATGAGCCATAGCTTCTGAACCAATGATGGCCAATCTACTCGGGAAGTGAGTTAAGGAGCCCCGTATCTTGGAGGACCGGTGCTCAGTCAGTATGAGGGAATGACCCCTATACGCCATCCAACTTCCCTACTGATCGCACCCCTCTGGGGATAAGAACTAAGGATGAGCCCTTATAAACCATCTCTTGTGGTTTCCTTTAAGGGGACCAAAGCCTGGGTTCCCACATTCCCTACCTAGCGCATCCTACCGCACTGATCTTATGGGGGCTGGGGGGGAGGGAGGGGAGGTGGAGGGAGCCCAAATATCGAAATCTGTTTTTTGTTGGCCCCTAATAAGGCCTTATTTCCGCCTGATTGGGGCTCCCTCCTCCCCCAAGTCCCTCCCCCCCAGCCCTGCACTGATCAGCTCAGGATGAGCCCAAGTACTTCCTGGAGGAGTGGGAGCAGATCCGATTGAGCTTCGAGACCTCGCACCACGAGCACCTGCTGGCTGTGCAGAGCTTGATCGATGACATCCTGCCCGGGGACCTGGACAAATGCAGAAAAAAACCGAGGCGGATAGGAGTGCATAGGTGTCCTTTTTGGTGGTTTTGCTCGAAAAATAGACGGCCCTGGTTTGCCTTCTGGTTTAATCATCTACCAGGGCCATCTATTTCCCCTAAAAGGACACCTATGATAGGAGGTGCTACGTTACAGGAGGTGTTACCCTCCCTCCCACTAACACGGCACATCACAAAAAGTCGTTTCAAGTGGAAATGGATCTTCCAGGTACCTCCCCACAGGTGCCATGATAGTGGGAGGAAGGGTACGGTTAGGAACCCACAAGAATAACGGTGCAGTCTCTTGTTGGTGGTTGTTTCCTTCTTTGAAGAAGTCTACTTCCGAAGAAGGACTGCCCAAGAGATTTTCCCATCAGAATCCACTTGGGTTCTGAGTTCTGAGAGTTCTTTGATGATGCACTTGTTGTTTATGTACTTTTTCTCCAACAAACATGGAAGCTCACCGAAGAGTTCTTGGAAGACGACTTTCCTTTGGTGGAGGTTGAATGGAAGAAGGGTCATTATTTATTTGTTTGCAATATATTGCAATCCCGAAGGCTCTTCCTGGAACCCTTTGGAAGACCCAGTTCCATTTACACCTCGAGGTGAATTGAGGGAGGGAGCTTCCGGCTGTTCGTCGGGAGTGTAAGCCCCTGTTGGAAAGGCACTGCAAAGGGAGCCCCTTTTGGCCAGAGAACTTGTATGAAAAGCAAAAAATGCTCCAACACCAACACAATTTTCATGGTCTTTGTGGAAACCACAAGAACAAACACACATAACTTTGGTTTGCTTTCTTTCCTTCATCGCTTTTTATTTGTTTGGTCTTTGCATGTTCGAAGTGGAGGATCTGTGGAAGTGTGTGGGCACCGCAAGTACCCGTTTCAGGAACCGTTTCAGGTCTCTCGACTCCCAGCCCGCTGGTGCCTAGCCCACTTTAGGGATACCGTAGAGGTGAAGCATTGTATCACAGAACTTTGTTTTGCGCCTTTGGAGGGGCTACCTCTGAAATATACCAAACACTCACAGAAAAGTGAGCCAAGCAAAAGCTGGCCCAGACCCCCAATTGCGAATGTTGCCCCTTTGTGGAAGCTCTTTTGAAGGCTCTTGAGTCGCATGACAGTGGGGAGATCCAAAACCGTGGCCCGCAAGCGCGGGCAAAGATGAATATGGGTGTGTCATGGCGTGTCTTGGAACAGGGGTATCCCAAAATAGTTCGCGTCCTTTTCCGTTTGAAGCCACTCCAACAGGGGGTAACCTTAGAAGAAAAAACCTCTATAGCCCAGACCTTTGCTACTCCCCTTGGATTCAAAGGCTGACTGTATAGCATGTATAAACCCTCTGTTGTGGACCCAAAAGGGGGCTGATTGTTTCCAGAAAGCCATGAATAACGTTTGTTTGTAACCCAAGGGGTTCATGCCAGGGGTTGATACATTGGCGTATACAAATCGCCAACCCCGGGATGTGTACTGGGGTTGAGCTGTGCTCAAGCTAAAGCAAGAACCTAATGCTGTGAACTGAGGGAATGCGAGCCAGGGATAGGCAACACCTCGAGGGAATTTAAGCAGAGATCCGGTTTTGTTTGTTTTGCTTTTTTTGTTGTTTGTTGGTTGGTTTGGTTTGGATTTGTCTTGTTTGTTTGTTTGTTTGTTTGCTTGTTTGTTTGTTTGTTTGTTTGTTACCCCCGAATACATCTTCAGGTTCTAGAGAAATCCAGAGTCAACATACCAACATGGTTCTATGGACAACACGCACTCGATGCGTTTCTTGCGTCCAATCCGTCTGGGTCCAAAATGTGAACCACGCGCTGCAAAATACCACGCCAGCAACCAAACATCTTGGCACACAGGCGGTGCAACACTGAAAGTTCATATTTTCCAGGGGCATACCAAGTACCACCCAGAATAACCGTGGCTGAGCCATCCCTTGGATTTTCACCCCCTAAGCTTAGGTCAAAAGGCATGTGGTGTCAACCAGATAGGTCTGGGCACGGAGGGGTTGGCAAAGTGTGTTCCTTGCAAGGGGCTCCCATTTTTTTGGTGTCTCAAGTACCTGGAGTATCCTTCTGACCCTTTAAAAATGGGTCCATGACCCCTTTTATTTTGGGTAATTACCAACCATTTTTAAAGGGTCATGGAGACTCAAGGTAGACAATTTGCCCAGATTCAACTTGTTGCGTTGCAGCACGTTTGCAGGAAAAACCAGCTTGTGTAGGGTGTGTTGGGGCTATGTCTTACGTGATTTTCCTGTATCCAAACCCTTTGACAGATGTGTGTAGGTGTTGACTCCTCCGCTTTTGATTTGTGGGGGCAAAGCCGTAGGGACCACTTTGGATTCAAAACCATTCGCAGATTGGAACCCGACCAATCCTCTAATTTAGTAGTTCTGGGGTAGACTTAGCATACATTTTACATTTTACCAGTGACTCAAAGTGAGGTAAACAATGAAATATACATTCTATAACTAGGCCTAACTCTAATCGTGAATTGGGTTCTCTCTTTGGGGAAGCCCCTTGTTGGGTTCCACGTGGGTTTGTCATTTTGACCCCTTTTCATCGCTGGTTTTTGAAGGGAAACCAACAGGAACACCACCATTTTAGAGGGGTCCCCCCAAAAAACACACACACCTCGGCTTCCTCACGACTCGCAGGTACGAGTCGGATCCCTCGGACACGGACGGCGAGATGTCGCAACCGCCCAACATCTCAGTTGGCATGGCCCCAGGCCGCATCTTGGCTGCTTTTGGGCCTTTGAGCGCTTGACTGGGTGTGTGTGTGTGTGTGTTATTTTGGGAGAGCCCCTTCTTTGTCGTGTTCTTTGTGTGAAATCCACACAGAGATCACCATTTTAGGGGGTTGAAAACGGGACATCCCCACTTCCAGGGAGCCCAGCACACACGGTGCTGTTTTTTTCTTCTTTTTTCTCAGTTCCTGGATTTTAAGCTTTTTATGGGAAAGTCGTGGGAAACCCGTGAACCCATGAAAATTTATGGGAAACCTGTGGGAACCCAGGAGCAAGCCGAGCAAAGCTTCCGTTAATATGAAGTTCGGACTCGTTTGGTCCAATCAACGCAGGAAATGATAGGAAATGAGTTTTTCAGAGACGGAAGCCATCCGCTTTCCAAGCGGCGGGTTGGAATCCTTTAGATTCCAGTACTTTCGCTCTCGCTAGCAGCGCTCAACACCCCTGTTGGCATTTTCTATGAAAAGGGGTCTACTTGGTGTGTGCCTACTCATGTTGGCGGGGCCAACATAAAGCTTCCGTGGGCCGGTCCCCCACTTTTGTTCAACAATCGTTCATTTTGCAAACTCACTTCCAGAGTTCCTGGACTTTAATTTTGTGGGGAATACCATGTTAACTGGTGGTACACACAAAGTTTAGGCTTGTTGTTGGCAAACCTACTCAGGAAGTGAGGAGACCAGCTGTTTCGCTTCCGGATGTTTATTTTATGTGAACCGAAGGATCCCCGAAAAGAAGGGTTGAAAGTTAGGAAACAAGTACTCAGTTGTTCAAAGCGAATCGACCTTTTGACCTTTTGGTTTTCCATTTTTGGTCCATATTTTGTCATGTCCCCAAAAGGTTAAGCTTTTAGTTCCGGTCCTTTGGGCAACTGAGAGTACCAAAGGGTGCTCAAGTGAGGTATCAACATCAGACATCTCATGGACATGGATGGCGACGCCGAGCCTGTGGCACCCGCAGCAGGCAGGGTCAAAAGACGAAGCCGGAAGGGTAGAAACTTGGTCAGGGCTCCTTAAAAGATACATTTTGCAACCATTTGAACCATGGCTTGTTTTTTTCACCCAAGCTAAAGGGAAACCACCATTTACAAGTTGCAATGTGCAGGTGTACAATGATTATAATGTAAGGCTCCCTTTTTTCAGATGTTTCCGGAGGTTTCCGGTTTCCCATCTCACCGGGGTTGCGAATGCTCAATTTGTCGATGTTTCTACAGGATTCTTGGGGCTACTGTGGATGGACGAAATCCTGCACCACCTAAGAAACCCTGACATGATGATTCCCCTGAAACACCAATGAAAAATGGTTTCCCATGGTTTCCAAGTGGTGCGAAATGGATTGTGTCCATCCACAGTAGCATTTGGAAAGCTTGTTGGGGCAATCCTTGGGATATTTTCTGAGCCACCCCTTTGAGGAACTACCATGTTTCTACTTTGGACGTTTTCCTTTATCGGGGTCCGTGGCCGATTTCTGTGCGATCGGCCGATCGAGTCTCACAGGTGTTGCTGAGGACATGCTGGAAGCCCCTGGGGATGCGAAGACCAAGGAGGCGCCGATGTCTCGAAAAGAAAATAGAGGTCCTTTGTTGTTCCTTCACTGTTCCGGGATCGAATTTGTTTAGGTTTTGTGCGTTGGGTGCTGTTCATTTTTTGTAGGAGGCTGCGAAAACCAGCTGTGTTTGCAAGCCCAGAGGAAGGGTTGTGAATTGTTACAGTAGCACTCTTTTCAGGGCTTGCGAACAACCTGTCTTCATGTTTCCTCTGGCTTGGCCGTTGTGTAAGGGATGCCAGGTAAACCCTGGCCATTTTGCCGGACACCAACCATTTTAGAGGCACAGCCTGGCTGTTGAGTGAAATGCCGAGAACCCTGTTGTCAATGTGGCCGTGGGTCAAACACATGTACCCAAAATGGAATCCTGGTAAATGGAAACATGGACCAAAACCTGCGGTCCCCTTGTGGTGTAGTTTTGACCCATACCCATGTAGCGTTTTTTTTGGGAGGGTTCCCCTACTAAAATAGACTACAGAAAAAAGTTGGTACCAACTTATTCTAATCTCGAACTACTGGAGGACCTAGTGGCGTCACGAGTCAGCCACTGACCCAAACGGCCCTGGCTGAGGACAGATTGGTCGTCTCGCCGATGGCGCCTTCGCCACGGATGTCCACTTTGTCGCCCCGCTCGGTGAGGTCCATTACCAGCAAGGACACCTCCTCCGTGCCCGCCATCCAGACCAGAGCCTTGAAGCCGCGAGCAAATTCGCGCAAACAAAACGCCCACAACGTGGGTGGCTTCTTGTGTTCTTCCATTTGGTGAAGAATATTTGTTCTGTTTTCCCCTGTTGGTTTTAAAGGGAATCTATCACTGTGGAATATTTTTTTTTGTTTAATTTGTTCCAGGGAATTTAAGCAAACGGAGGTGTTGGAGCTGGTGCCATGGGTGTCCATTTTGGGTGTGTGTTTGGGTATTCGAATTACCCTCCTGTTTGTTTCAAAGGGAAGCGATCGTTGGACATATTGTGCATTTGTTCAGGGGATATTCGCAAGTGGGGGATAGTGGTTGGCCCAGCCGTATTTTTTAGCAGAGGGCTCCCGGAAAACGTCTGGAATTTCCACATCCCCCACAGGTGTCCTGTTGATCGGTGAGTTTGGGGAATGAAATAGATGGGAATTCCACTGGTTAGATGGGTTTTATGCCAGTGTCCTCAATGTTCAAGAGGATTATAGGGGAGCCCTGTGCTGTACGACAAAGCAATTAGAATGGGGTTGGGGGGGGGCACAGTTTTGGCCGTGTGCCCCCTTTTTGGGGTGGTGTTTTTCGGCCAGCCGAAAGCGAAACAACCAGCGCCCATCATGAAACGTACAAAAGGCCCTGGTTAAAGCAAATGTCCACGTACATCCCCCTATGTCCATGCCCTTCGCTTTTTGGCCGAGAGGCCCTCGTTCAAGCATGTCGCGTGCTGCTCTTCTTACCTCTTAAAACCACCACCTTTCGTAACTTTTGGGGGTCACATGGGCGAGAAGTGTCTGTAACAGATGAGAACCTCCCCAGGTTGCGCAGGGAGTTTTTCCAGGGGCCGGTCTCTCCTCTTTTTTTGGAGCAGGGCGCGGGGCCCGCGCGTACTGCTCGGGGCCTGAGGAACCAGCTTCATCGAGCAGGGCGCGCTGTTCCAAGGCCTGCAGCCCCGCAGCAACTCGAAGAAGAAGCGGCGCCTGTCGGCCAGGGAGAAGCTGATGTCCAGTGCCCGGCCCCTCGTGCAGGCGCGCCAATCGAAAAAGGGGGAATTCGGAAGCCGTGAGGGCAATTGAGCCGCATCTCACCAGGAAACCTCGAGAAGTTGCGGGGAATTACCATACCGTCCCACACTGGTTTCCGGAAAATTGGAGATTGGCAGGGGGGGTGGTTTCCAGTGGCGGATGCCCAGGACGGAAAGCCCCCATATTTTAATCACTGGTCTTGGCAAGTTTCTGTTTTTTTGTTTTTGCTATTTTGGGTTTGGTTCAATTTTGTAGGAGGCTGCAAAACAAAGTCGTTTGCTACCATACCAACGGTTGTGAAGTAGAAGTATTGACAAGCACCAGGTCTCCCTGAGTTTAGCACTTTTGGAGGGGCCCCAGCCCCCCCTCCCTCCAATCCACGAAACTGGGGTGATTCATGTGGGGTCAACATCGATGGGCATACCGGATTGATCAACCCCTAGTTGATTGATGATTGCGGGGTGTCCCCTTTGAGTGGGGATTCATCACTCTTGGAGGGGAGCGCACCTTATTTTATAGATCCGGCTCTACCTAGATCCGGGGTCAACATTACTGCAACTGGACCAGTACACATGAATGTACTGCAACGGGGCCAACCACATCCAACCGCAAAACCATGGTCAAATACTGAGAATTCGAGGCTTACTTGCCCAAAGGGGACCTTTTGGTTTTCTGGTATGGTCCATTCCTAGTTTTTAGGTTCCAAAAGGTGATCTTCGACTACTACTACTACTACTACTACTACTACTACTGCTACTGCTACTGCTACTGCTACTGCTACTGCTACTGCTACTGCTACTGCTACTGCTACTGCTACTGCTACTGCTACTACTACTACTACTACTACTACTACTACTACTACTACTACTACTACTACTACTACCACTTCTTCTTCTTCTTCGTCTACTACCACTACTCTTTAAATAACGATTCGGGCCTTTGCGAATGAGGTCTTTTCAGTGAAATGTTTTATGCTTCAAGGCTGCATGAAAAACCACAAGAAGCAGGTTGAGAGTCATAACCAAAGAATTCCTGGAGTTGGGTTCATCATCAGGGCACTGATCCATTAATGTGGGCATGCTGAGACCTTCTTCTTGTGAGAACAAAATGGCGAACAAGAATGGAGAAAGGTTGGGAACATGTTGGGGCAAAGTTTGCAAAATGTTGAATGGGTTTCGAACAAGCTGGGAAAAGTTTGGGAAAAGGTTGGGAAAAGGTTTCGAACAAGTTGGGAAAGGGCTGGGACAAAATTGGGAAAAGGTTGTGAACAAGTTGGGAAGGAAGGTCGGGAAAACAGGTCGGGAAAGCAGGTCGGGGAAAAAGTGGGAAAAAGTTGGAAAACAAGTTGGGAACAAAGTTGGAAAAAGGTTGGGAGAAAGTCGGGAAAAGGTTGAGAAAAGTTGGGAACAAGTTAGGAAAAGGTTGGGACAAGTTGGGGAGCCGTTGGGAACAGGGAAAAGCTTGGGACAATTGGAAAAGAGTTGGGAAACGGTTGCGAAGAGGTTGGAGGAGGATCATAATGCTGCACGTTTTTTATATGAGTGAAAAGCAGCTGCTGTGAGGGCCTTGCAGGGCTGGCACTGTGCGGTTTTGGTTTGGGGAGGGCTCAGGGAAAGGGTGTTTTGTATTTGCCTAGCCCTGGCACAGGCTGACCCTGGCAGTTGGTTGGTTGGTTGGTTGGTTGGTTGGTTGGTTGGTTGGTTGGTTGGTTGGCTGGGTTTAGGGTGGGTTCCAGGTTGGCTCAGGCTTGGCTGTTGGTGGGTTCCAGGCTATGGTTTAGTGCTGGTGTATGGTGGGGCTTCTTGGGGTTGTCTCGGATGGGTTTAGGGCTGGTAGGGTGGGTCAAAAATTGGCTTCAGTCATGGTTGTGCCTAAGCCCACTTCAAGTGGTTTAAGGTAGGTGCCTACCTTAAACCACCCCAAGCCCACTTAAGCACAACCACGGCCGAAGCCAATTTTAAACCCACCCCAAACCAGCCCTTAACCCATCCGAGACCAACCCCAAGAAGCCACACCATAAACCAGCACTAAACCATCTACCTCAAGCACAGCCACTCAATGGGTTCCAGGAGCCAAGCCTGAACCAACCCTAAACGGACTACTCTAAACCCACCCCAAACCTTTGTCCGTTAGTGTCTCTTTTAGCGCACGCCAGGCTGTGCCAGGGTAAGGCTAATGCCAGGGCTATGCAAAAACAAACACCTCAGCAGAGGGCCCAGCTCTTGGTAGGGACCATCCAGGGTTGTTCAAAATTATCTTTCTTTTCGTGAGGATTGCGTAGCTTCTTGTGGTTTTCTATGGTTTGCTGTGCCTAGAAACAGTTTCCAAAAAGACCTTCCTTGAAACGGTATGACTGGCACGACTTTGCATTACTAAACCACTACTACTAATACTAATACTAAAAACACTACTCCTCCTACTACTACTAATTACTACTACTATTACTACTACTACTACTACTACTACTACTACTACTACTACTACTACTACTACTACTACTACCACTACCACTACTACTAGTGTCAACAATTTAGCGATCGGTTCCTACGCTGGAAAACCACATTTACATGTGTTTCCAAGTGGCTCTGTGTCAAAGTGCCAGTCATGGGGCCCCGTGGCGCACTGCTCTCCGGCCTGGGATCAGGTGGCACGGGAGCTGAATGATCAGGACGGCCTGGGTGCCATGGTCAATCAGCTTCCGGGGGGCGGCTCGGCACGCAAGATCCTCACCCCAAGCCCCCCCCTGGATATTTAATCCGCGCTGGTCACAGAAAAACAAATATATATATATACATACGTGTGTATATATATATATTTACATACGTGTATATATGAGGGCCGTCCTAAATCCCCAGTCTTCGGTTTTAATTTTGCCGAACGGGGAGAAGTAAAAGTTGTCAAAAGCTGTGCGCGCGCAAGGAGCGCGCAAGTGCGGCCCAAGGGGCGCGCAAGGTTACAGTTTTGAAGGGTTTCATGCACTGATGTTGCCTGCTTCATGAAAGGAGGTGATATTTTCTTGCTGTACTTGTGCTTTTCGAATCAGTCAGACGCCAAACGAAGCCAAAGCTTCTGCGGTCATGACTTCAACAATCAGCAACTGACACGACAAAATCCGCGCAAGCCGCGCGCAAGCCGCGCGCAAGTTGCGCACAAGCACGACAAGCCCTTCAAGACATCTAGCCATGCTGTCTCGGATGTCCTTAGCGGCGCGGTTCAAGCAATGGATAGGCACCCGCAACATGCACTTTCCTTCTTTCAGGCTGTGTCCAAGCTGTGTGGCAGAACCTGCTGTTCTTTCTGTTGGGTCAAGGGTATGTTGCTGGCATTGAATTGCCGGGAGCGACCTCAGCGGGAAAAGTCTTTGTGGGTTGCTGTGTGAATGACAAACACACTGCTTAGAAAAGCTTGCGCACAATCCACACGAAAACTTTGCAAACCGAGGTCAAGGAAAACAAGTTTCTGCACCACTGTGCGCGCACAAGTCCGCACAGGTGCCGCGCAAGTGCGGCCCAAGGGCCCAATCGCGGGCAAAGGAATATAGGACAACCCCCATATATATTCTCATATATGTGAGCTTGCAACCACGGCCATAAAGATAACTTTTCCAAGTTTCCCTAATTCGGCCTTTTGACCTCCTGGCTTCCCGTTTTGGACCACTTTGAGTCATGGCCCCAGAAGGGTGACCTCTCTATGTTTAGGTCAACAAGTCCGCAATCATTTCTTGCGGCCGTCTAGGCCCTTGAGTTTGGGTCCTCAAAAGAAGGACTGAGCCGTTCCCTGTTGCTTCTGGGCTCGGCAGGTTAGCGAGCCCAGGTTGCAATTTCAGACGTCAGTAAGGCAATTGCTGCGCCCGAACGTTTCTCAACTTCGCAGAGTACATGGACTCCCTGCAGGACACTCGCTCACAGTGCTCACAGCGCTTCCCAGAGAGCGCCAAAACACGCAACCTGTGTGTGTGTGTGTGTGTGGGCTTGCTAGTTTGTAAGGTGTCCCATTTTGGGGTTGTTTTGCAGATGAATTTGTGGTCAGTTTTGGGACAGCGCCTCTTGCGAAAGATTCGTAGGTTCGCGCTTCAACTTTGCTTGGTAGACTTTTGTCTTCATTTACCAGTGCTTTAGAGACTTGGGGTTTGCTGACAGATAGTGTCTCGGTGCCTTGCTCGAGCTTTGTAGCAGGTGGTTCTCGAGGCAAAGTAAGAACTACAGAAGCCTTACAATCAGCTTGGTGTGGGCGCTGCTCATGCGGAAGTTTTATTGGTGTTCAGGCTTGGCACTCCGTTTCCAATGGACGTGGACGGCACGGATTGCATTGGGCGATTTCATCTCAAGGCAGTGAAAGTCCGCTAAGAACTGGAAAGAAGGTATCTCCTGAGTTGCCCCTATGGGTGTTTCTCAAAATGGTAGAGCCTTTTTGGTTGGCATATAAAGGGAAATGAAGAGGACGCCGACCATTTTGGGGAACCACTATTTTGAGAACCCCCCTACGTACTTATCCTTTGTTGTCTTGCGATTGTTGGCAATTTTTTTTGGAGGGCAGGTGCTTTGACCGGATTTTGCAGCGCAAGACCGGCCCTCATGGTAGAATCATACAGACGCAAGCAGGCCAGCTTCCCACAGGCAGACAGACGGCGCAATAGCTTCCATTTGCTTAAGAGTATTGTTCAATTTCCCCTATTGGTTTAAAATGAAATCTATCACTCCAGGCGGCTTAAGCAAAGGAAGATAGGCTTTAGAGGAAAGATCTCAGAAGGTCTTCAGGGGAAAGATCTCATTTATCCTGTGCTTGTGGGCCAATCCTGATAAAGGCCAATAGCGCCTAGTAGGGTCTACTAGGGGCGAATAGGGTTCCTACGCAGGACCATTTCCAGGGGGTGCCCTCTTTGGGGGGGGCCCTGAAACCCATAGAAATTTACAAGGTTACCTCCACATTGCCAGGGCCAAGCTTTCTTTGTGGCTATGTTGTTGGATCTTTGGACTTTAACTTGTTAGTAATCAAACTGCAACCAAGCTTCATGATGTAGGTCCTTTGGAAATCCCTCACTTCAAGCAGGGGTCCCTATATGTCCCTTTGTGCTGGTTTGAAACATCACCTGTTCGGCGCACAAAAGGTGAGTGTTTTTTGGGGTGATGTTTTCAGGTTGGACAATTTTCGGGAGCCCTGTCAAGTGCTCGAGTTCTTGGTAAAACTGGCTGCGTCGAAGGCTATCCCTCGGTAGAAACTGGAAAACCTAGTCCCTGACTCGCTTGCAGGAGCCTGACCGCAAGGGAATTCTACCATGGCTGGTGAACAGCACTGGGTTCAATATGTCACTCAGCGAATTGGTTGGCTGAGCGTCAAATGCTTGGAGCTCTATTCGTTTCTGTTTTTCCAGCTTGTCTTGGAGGAGGTGTTTTTTGAGTGTCAACTACCAAAAGAAGTTTGCCCCTGTTTTTGTCATCGGACGTTTGAGGAATACCCCAAGTGCCTTAGAACTTTTAGGGATACGATCTTTGACCATCGGATGGTATCCGAAGAACCCCCGCTTTGGGACTTTCGTGGACGGAAGTCCAACCTTTGGAAGGCGCTGGAAGTTCTCGGTTTCAGAATTATCATTCTTGTCAGCCTGCATGTGTTTGTTGCGTTGCTTGGCTGTTCGATCCAAGCAAGCTTCCTGTTGATTTGCTTTGTTCCTTTTGTTCCTCAGGTTTGGCGTTTGATTCTTTCCTGTTCTTGGTCCTGCTCATTCGAATGGTATAGCACAAGGCTTTTGTTGCCGGCCGACCACCCTTAGGCAATTGGTCTATTGGTGTTTCAGGTGTCCCCAATGCCACCGGCTGTTGGGAAGAGAAGTCGGGTGTCCGAAGTACTTGCTGGCTGCTAATCAAGCATTGGTCGATTTGCTAAGAGGAACCCACCGGGGAATGGATACGGGTACCCTCCCTCCAACTAACATGGCAACTGTGAGAGGGTACCGGAAAATCAGATTCCTCTTGCTGGGACCCCCTTTCAGGTGCCATGTTAGTGGGAGAGAGGGTATGTGTCAAAATGGGGGGACCCACCCAAAATTGTGGTCTTCCTTTTGGCCTTTTCTCCCTTTGCGCCAAGCTCAACTGGGTACACTCAACAAACCACACACATTCCTCTTAGACCTTGCCTCGGTTGGAGCAAAGAAGCAGCCCCCCTCGGGTAGAATGCCGTTTCAAGGGCTGCTTATGGTGGAAAAGGCAAATTGTTAGAACCAACATTTGGGCTAGGTTTATCTTCCTGGTGGTCCTGGCCAACACGGCTCTCACCATCTACGAGGCGGATTTGCCCCTCGGCCTTTTCCATGTCCGATGTGAGATCTCTGGAGTGGGGGGCATTGTGTAAACAAACGGCACTTCTTGGCCTTTACAGAGGGAAGCCCAAAGGAAGTTGTTTAAGCAACTGTCGCTTAAGCATGTTGAAGTAGTTTGTTCCTCATCCCAATGAGAACTATGATTGCAACCCACTTGCATGACTGGTCTTTGGTGTGACTGAATCGCCCCTTCTCGGGAAAAAAACAAAAAGCACGCTTCCACTAGACCCACCCTAGGTTCAATGGCCTTTTGCTCAGGGGGCGCACGCGAAATTCTAAAGATTTGGAGCTCCGATCCACTTGGCGTCAAAGAAATAGAACATCACGTATCGGGATGCGTGCATGTGTTATTCAGGCGCTGTTTATTTTCCAGGAACTGGAAGCTTATGTAAAGTTAGTTATAGGCTGAAACCCAAAAACATAAAGGGAACATGAGACAAGCTAGGCCTAACGAGCCAGAAACCCACGGCAACACGACGGTGAGGGTAGCTTTGTAGCGCAAAAGGCTATTCAGTTAGTGGCAAATACTGTGGATGGACGAAATCCTGCACCACTTTGAAACCATGGGCAACCATAGTTTGTTGGCATTTGCATGAGAATCATGATTTCAGGGTTTCTTAGGTGGTGCAGGATTTTGTCCATCCACAGTAGTTAGGAGTTTGTTCGGCCAGTCCACTCAAGAACTCAAAGCCACAAGACCATGTTTATGGGTGTGCCTTTTAGGGGACCGCCCCCCAAACAAAAAGAAGAAGGTGTAACTGTTGGTGTTCCTTTAAAGCCACAAAGCCGCGGTGCTTTGCTTTCCAGACTCCCACGTAGAGCTGTCTGTAGCCTGGCACTTCTGAGGCTGATCACCACTAGGAGCGTGGACACGTTGCACTGGCTCAGCATCGCAGAATTGATCTTCAGCGCCGCTGTGCTTACTTTGTGTGTTTGTCGCGGGATTCGACCCCAAAAGTTTCTAGAATACGGTTAGGATGTGGCTTTTGTGGAACCACCCCTGTAAGATAATAATAGAGTACTAAAGTAGTATTCAAACAGAGGCTACAGTGAGGGGGGAAGAACTGGTGAAAACCACCAAAAGCGCATCCAAGCCGTTTTCTACACATATGTAGGATTCTTTTAGGATACCCTTAGTGGGGTGGTGTCAAGGGCAACAACAAGAAAGACTAGCAAATTTGAGGGTTCCCCGTATTTTGACACACGCACACACACACACACATGTCCCTCTCAAACATGACCTCCGGTTTTGTGGGATGCACTCCCAAAATAGCGAGGGCATCCTTGTCGTGGTTGTAAGTGCTTCTTTTTTCGGACTGTGTGGTTTCTGAACGGATTCCCAACTTTTTTGCGGAAGTCCGTCATGATTAACTGGGAAACCTGCACTTGGTATGTTCGTAGGTTTCGTTGTTTTTTGTTTTTTTTTTGTGTGTTTTCTTGGTGCTGATCATGTTTAGTAGGGCTGGACTCGGCACAGGTGCTATGAGCCATTTGTGTTGACCTTGCAGGCCATGAAGCATGCTGCCGGGCTTCTTTCAAGACATGTTCTGTTTGTTTGGAAAAGGCTTGCTTGCTTCTAGGGGTGGTTCTCCATTCTTCTCCCCTAGGTCCACTTCAGTGTGACTTCAGGCGAGTCAACAAACCTGCTGGCATCGGCGATCCCTGACTGGCGGTAGCAGGGTCCAGAGGAAGAATGATACCAAACATTGCCTCATGGCTGGTGACGGTGGGTTTGCCGGCGCATGGATCGAGGAAGCGCTCGACTTGAGTTGGGTCATTTGCTCTTGACCTGGGCTCTCGCCTCATCTGCTCAAAGTGAACTGACGACTCTGACCTTTTTGGTTGCCCCATTTCGGGTTCCTGTTTGTAGTCATAGACCCAAAAGATGATCACCTTTTCGTTCCAGGCCCTTTGGGCAAGTGAAGTTGTTCGCCCCGTGCTCCCCCCAGTTTGTCCAATGGTCAAAGCTGCAAATGGCTTGGTCATTGAATCTTACATGCTTGAACAAGCAAGTTCTGAAAGAGCACTTTCGGATACCAGTCCTTTGATCGGAGAAATAGATAGGTTCCACTGGTTTCGAAACTGGTTGAACTCCATTTACCAGGGCCATTTGTTCACCTCTGTTTCTAGGTTCCCCAGTAGTGCCCTTTTACCCTTTTTGGTTGGGAGGGTTCCCCTACTTAAGAAAAACATCAGTTACCCTTACTCTAACCTCAAACTACTGGAGGACCTCGGTTTTCACTGGCTGCTTGACCGTCTGACATTCGTTTCTTCAGGTCACCTATGTGCTGGAGTGCCTCAGCCGCACGCGGCAAACCTACTGCCTTTGTCATACTGTGGATAGGGGATGGACAAAATCCATTTCGCACCACCCAAGACACCATGGCAAGCCATTGTTTGTTGGTATTTGCAGGGGGATCATATCATTTCCAATGTTTCTTAGGTGGTGCAGGATTTCGTCCATCCACAGTAGGACTCAACCCCCGTTGAACTTCTGGTTTCCTCCCAATTCCTCCATTTTCTGAAATGTTTTTTTTGTTCACTGGTTGGTTTTAAAAGGAATCAAATTCACTACTGGAAATATTTGCTCATTTTTTCCTGCGGCCTTAACCAAATGGAAGCAAAGAACGCCCACTCAGAGCAACGCGGCTTGGTGTTTTAAACCATTCTCTGGGTCAGGTTTGTGTTTTGCACGGATGATATTTTTGCAACTCTCACAAATCGTGCGGTAGCCACCAATTTGGATGTGTCTGGTGGGGACCCCCCAAAAGGCTTGGTTTCCTTTTGGTTTTCCCTCGAAGCCAACCAAATTTCCTTCTGCCAATTGAGGGGCCAATGAATATTGACCATGGCTTATAACTTATATCACTTTTTCCATGTGGAAAGGTTCCCTTTCACTCTTTGTCTCCCAGGCAGTAGTTCTTCATTTGCCCGATGGCCGGCCCTGTTTTCGTTGTGCTTATTTTTGGGATTTCCCTTGAGGCAAGCAACCAACGCAAATATGTTGTTTACCCTTCAGGAAAACACGCACATACTCACATGCGCATTTAAAAACAAGGCAAAGAAAGGGGGTGAAATGAAACATGCTTGTAGGGCACGTCCCCATCAGCACATTGGGAATTTTCCTTGAAGTTGAGAAGTCAGTTGCAGTTGGGTCTATCTTGTTGATGGCGCCTTGTTGGGTTGAGACAACTCGGTCTTTTTGGGTCCCAGTTGTGCGGTGGCAGCCTGGTTCCCTGTTTACTGGCTGGGTCCCCCGCTAAAACGGGTCGACAGAGAAAGAAACAAACGCGTCCTCTTTCTACTATAATGTTAGCACTTGATTAATAAAGGGCCCCCCCCCCCGAACAATGGAGGCGCCAAAACAATGGGGGTGCACTTTTGGGACGTCCAAACAATGGAGGATTTGGGCCCCAATTCTACTTTAGTATTGCAGCCACTTCCTTTTTGCAATTCTACTTTAATATTGCAGCCACTTCCTTTTTGCAATTCTACTTTAGTATTGCAACCACTTCTTCCTGAGCAACCAATTGAAAGGGGAATGCTTTTGAGTAAAGCAACTGATAGCTTATTTTCTGGGAGGGGGGGCTGGGGGCTTGCAACTATTGTGGTCCCCTGAAACAATGACATGTGTTTTTTCCGCATTTGTTTAACACGGTTTAATAAAGAGTTTGCAGTTTCAGGGCTGGGGATGGTTTTCAATTTCTGAGGTTTCAGCTGGCTTTGGGTTCTGTGGTTGAGCAACCAAGTGAAAGGGGAATGCTTGGGATTCTGGGGTGATTGTTTGGGGGGGGGAGGATTTTTTTTAATTAAAATTGATTTGTGGAGTTGTTTTTTGGGAATTTTTCCCCCGGGCAAAAAACTTTCAATTATTCTGGTCCCCCTAAACAATGGGCGCAAACCAGGATAAGGAAAACGACTTGCCATTATTAAAGCCCGGTTGATTAATCAAGTGTTAACATTAGGGTCACTAAACAACTCGGTTGTTGTTAGGTTCTAAGGGTGGGAGTACATACCCCTGGTTCATAGCGGTTCCTTGGCCTCAGTGGTTTCCATCCCACTTAAGGGGTATATGTTTTTTTGGAGAGAGGGGTATGTAGGGGTATGTACCTTGGCACCCTGCAGGTTCCTGCTGAAGCTGTGGGTGCATCGGCTCTACTACTTCTGGTGCCCAGAGTGGAAGTGGAACATTTTCGACGCGCTGCTGGCCATTTTGTCCATCCTCAGCGCGGTGACTTGGATTTGCTTATGTCTGTGAAGCATTTTTTTGACAGGGCCAAAATCCGGCGATGGCTTTGGGGCGCTGGCTCGTGCGTTCTGAAGAGCATGCTTTTGTTGAGCTGATGTGTTCTACGCTATTCGTGCTTTCTTTTTATCTACATTTGCTTAGGTTGATCATTTTATCGTGTTCAAGCAGCCTGCCATGCCTAGTCGGACTTGTACGCAGCAACAAAACCAGACCGTGCAAGGTGAACTCCCTCCTGGAGTCTGTGTCCCAGGCCAATATGAGCTTCCTTAGGTCCTTCCGCTTCATTAAGGTGCGCTACCTCCAAGTGCTGAGTGACGGCTGAGTTGGGAAGTTCCCGGTGGCACCGAATTGATCTTGCCATTGGCTGAAATGATTTTGTTTGTATTTTCACATGTCGGCTTTGAATGGAATCGATTTCACTACTGGAAATCTTTGCTCATGTTTTTCCAGGGGGCTTAAGCAAATGGAAGTGGAAGAACTCTGCAAGTCGAAGGGATCATGTTTTGACCCCCAACTGAGCCTTTGTTTTGGTAAACCTTGAGGTCGAAAATCGTACGTACGGACAAAGCACTACTCATGCCCCAAGACAGATTGGTAAGGGCAGTGGTAGTGAGGGGAAAACTGGTTTCTCCTCCATTTCGCAACTTGGGTCCCAGGTTTTTGTGGGACACCTGGGACATTTGGGCGCATCCCCCACCTTTTCATGGGATCTAATCTCTCCCGGAAAACCTGCCAAATACAACATTGGTGCGTTATCAAGGTCTTCTTGGGAACAAACCGAGGGGGGAGTTGGGGGTCCAATCTTTGGTGCATTTTGCTTGGATGTTCGGACTTTAACTTTTTGCCAACTAGTGGGTTTACTGTATTAAATCACTAAAAGTTATAAACTTCTCGCAGAGCAGAAAGCAAGCGAGCTTTTTTGGAGTTCAGGCAGGTGCTTTGGGGTTTTTGCACGGGGGGAGTGGAGGGAGGGGAGGGGGAGGGAGCCCTAAAAAAGGCCTTAAGGGCTGAATCGGGGGCTTCTTGGTCCTATGAAACTGGCAGGTCTCGCGGATCTTGCGGGGCCTGCGGGTCATCTCCTTCGTGCGCCAGCTGCGGCTCATGGTCTCCTCCATCGTCGGCTGCTCCATGGCGCTCTTCTGGAGCTGCCTCGTGCCCCGGAAAGTGGCGGTGGTTGTTGAAAACCCATGGGATCCCATTTTGGGGCAAGTGAATTCACCCCCCCATTTTAGAGCCTGCTGTGGATGGACGAAATGCTGCACCACCTGAGAACCATGGTAAACTATTGCTTGTTGGTATTTACAAGGGATCACATCATTCCAGGGTTTCTTAGGTGGTGCAGGATTTCGTCCATTCACAGCCTATTTTAGTGGAATTGGCGGGGATTGGCATGTTCACTGGGGGTACGGGATTTCTACCCATGGCCAAATCGCGCCCGGCAAGGTCTTTTTGGTTGACATGGGCCCCTTTCTCACCTCCTCAGCTCATGGACATTAGCCACTTTGTGGGTTTGGTTGCCATTGTAGTGGGAATCAAGAAGTTCGGAGTCTCTTTGGCCAATCCACTCAGGAAGTGAGCCAAAGGAAGTTTAGAAAGAACTTCCATAGTACTGGAACTAGCCTCCCACCAATTAACGGAAGGAACCTGACGTTTGGGGGGTCCTGGAAGACGACTTTCCTTTTCAAAGCTGTGTTCTCTGATGAACAATTTTGCGCATGCGAAAAGCTATGTATGAAAACGCTGAACATCACGCCCTGTGCGTGAATCCGCCTCTTCGGCATGTGCGCAACCCACCTCTGTCGCGACGCGGTTTGGCTATTGTTTGGTTTAGCTGGGGCCTGGAGTGGTTTGTTTGTTTGTCTTATTGTTGGTGTAGTGTTTCTTTTCGGTGTGTCTCAACATTCGGTTTAAATTCGTCGTGCTTGTCGAGCTACCAAAGTCTGGAATTGGCGGCTTCCCGCACACCTACTTGGCAACTTGGAGGTCCGGAGCTTGGAATTTTAAGGCCCCCAGTTACGTGTCGAATCCTTGTGGTCGTCCAACTGGTCATCCCAGGTATCACCCCCCCTATGATCATCGCGTTTCGACCCTGGGTAGTTCTTTTTCAAGCGTTTGGTGGTTGAACTGTCGAATCCTTGGTGGTTTCCAACCAATGGTCATCTATCACGGACCTCTTGATCAAGCCCCATGTGATCATCGGTTTGGCCAACCCTTGGCTTTGAAGGCTTTGCTTTCTTCTGGTCGGTGGACTTTATTCTCGAAGCCAGGATTCGGCTTGGCTTCCAAACATGGAACCTGAAATAAAATCGGCGACTTCCCCCTTAGGTCCCCCAGCTAGGTGCCGTTTCTTTTACCGTTTCTTTTTTGGGGAGGGTTCCCCTACATAGACTACAGAACAAAAAGTGTACCCTTATTCTAACCTCTCTACTGGACCTAGCCCCTGGTACCCGTGTGAACCAGCTTAAGGAGGGTGCCCCTGCAACGAAAGACGCTGCTTCATTGTTGCCATGAACTTTGCTTGGCCAAAATAGGGCTCCTTACTGATACAAGACCGGGCAGCAACTCACTTCAACACACACACACACACACACACACTTTTGGGAAGGCCATGTTCGTGCTAGGCAAAAACAAGTTCAGACTTGGTTTGGCCAATCCACTTAGGGAGCGAGACAAATGACCATGGGTCAAAAGCCCGTACCCCCATTGCACATCCCAATCCCCACTAAAATAAGTTCCGAACATGGGCGGTGAATTCACCTACCAACCAAAATGATTGATCCCCAAACGGTTTTGACCCGCAGCCAACTCTGAGGTGCACTAAAATAAGCTCTGAACATGGGTGGTGAATTCACCTACCAACCAGAATGATTGATCCCAAAACGGTTTTGACCCGCAGCTAACTCTGAGGTGCTTCTCATTGTGGTGAATTCACCTACCAACCAGAATGATTGATCCCAAAGCGGTTTTGACCGGCCAACAAACTCTCAGGTGCTTCTCATTGTGGTGAATTCACCTACCAACCAGAATGATTGATCCCAAAACGGTATTGGCCGGCCAACAAACTCTCAGGTGCTTCTCATTGTGGTGAATTCACCTACCAACCAGAATGATTGATCCCAAAGCGGTTTTGACCGGCCAACAAACTCTCAGGTGCTTCTCATTGTGGTGAATTCACCTACCAACCAGAATGATTGATCCCAAAACGGTTTTGACCGGCCAACAAACTCTCAGGTGCTTCTCATTGTGGTGAATTCACCTACCAACCAGAATGATTGATCCCAAAGCGGTTTTGACCGGCCAACAAAACCTCAGGTGCTTCTCATTGTGGTGAATTCACCTACCAACCAGAATGATTGATCCCAAAACGGTATTGGCCGGCCAACAAACTTCTCAGGTGCTTCATTGTGGTGAATTCACCTACCAACCAGAATGATTGATCCCAAAGCGGTTCGACCGGCCAAATCGTCCTCAGGTGCTTCTCTATTGTGGTGAATTCACCCGCTCAACCAGAATGATTGATCCCAAAACGGTTTTGACCGGCCAACAAACTCTCAGGTGCTTCATTGTGGTGAATTCACCTACCAACCAAAATGATTGATCCCAAAAACGGTTTTGACCGGCCAACAAACTCTCAGGTGCTTCTCATTGTGGTGAAATCCACCTACCAACCAGAATGATTGATCCCAAAAGCGGTTTTGACCGGCCAACAAACTCTCAGGTGCTTCTCATTGTGGTGAATTCACCTACCAACCAGAATGATTGATCCCAAAACGGTTTTGACCGGCCAACAAACTCTCAGGTGCTTCTCATTGTGGTGAATTCACCTACCAACCAGAATGATTGATCCCAAAGCGGTTTTGACCGGCCAACAAACTCTCAGGTGCTTCTCATTGTGGTGAATTCACCTACCAACCAGAATGATTGATCCCAAAACGGTTTTGACCGGCCAACAAATTCTCAGGTGCTTCTCATTGTGGTGAATTCACCTACCAACCAGAATGATTGATCCCAAAACGGTTTTGACCGGCCAACAAACTCTCAGGTGCTTCTCATTGTGGTGAATTCACCTACCAACCAGAATGATTGATCCCAAAACGGTTTTTGACCGGCCAACAAACTCTCAGGTGCTTCTCATTGTGGTGAATTCACCTACCAACCAGAATGATTGATCCCAAAACGGTTTTGACCGGCCAACAAACTCTCAGGTGCTTCTCATTGTGGTGAATTCACCTACCAACCAGAATGATTGATCCCAAATCGGTTTTGACCGGCCAACAAACTCTCAGGTGCTTCTCATTGTCCTAATTCACCTACCAACCAGAATGATTGATCCCAAAGCGGTTTTGACCGGCCAACAAACTCTCAGGTGCTTCTCATTGTGGTGAATTCACCTACCAACCAGAATGATTGATCCCAAAACGGTTTTGACCGGCCAACAAACTCTCAGGTGCTTCTCATTGTGGTGAATTCACCTACCAACCAGAATGATTGATCCCAAACGGTTTTGACCGGCCAACAAACTCTCAGGTGCTTCTCATTGTGGTGAATTCACCTACCAACCAGAATGATTGATCCCAAAACGGTTTTGACCGGCCAACAAACTCTCAGGTGCTTCTCATTGTGGTGAATTCACCTACCAACCAGAATGATTGATCCCAAAACGGTTTTGACCGGCCAACAAACTCTCAGGTGCTTCTCATTGTGGTGAATTCACCTACCAACCAAAATGATTGATCCCAAGACGGTTTTGACCGGCCAACAAACTCTCAGGTGCTTCTCATTGTGGTGAAATCACCTACCAACCAAAATGATTGATCCCAAGACGGTTTTGACCGGCCAAACTCTCAGGTGCTTCTCATTGTGGTGAATTCACCTACCAACCAAAAATGATTGATCCCAAGACGGTTTTGAGACGGTTTTGACCGGCCAACAAACTCTCAGGTGCTTCTCATTGTGGTGAATTCACCTAACCAAAATGATTGATCCCAAGACGGTTTTGACCGGCCAACAAACTCTCAGGTGCTTCTCATTGTGGTGAATTCACCTACCAACCAGAATGATTGATCCCAAAGCGGTTTTGACCGGCCAACAAACTCTCAGGTGCTTCTCATTGTGGTGAATTCACCTACCAACCAGAATGATTGATCCCAAAGCGGTTTTGACCGGCCAACAAACTCTCAGGTGCTTCTCATTGTGGAGATCGTGTTCTCCATTCTCTTCGTGCAGCTGGTGACGAGCCACGTGGTCGAGAACCCGGACACCCTGGAAACGGAGCTGCTGCTGCTCAAGTTTCCATCCGTCACAGGAGGGGGCGTTGTTTTTGTTTTTTTGTTTCCCCGGTAGGGACAGTAAAAGGGCGTTTTTATGTTGTTTTCTCGTAGGGGCAGGGGCGGTTTTGTTTTTTGTTTTTTCTTCCCCGGTAGGGTCAGTTTAAAAGGATTTTCAGTTGGCTGTGGTGGTCAAAACCGTTTGGGGGATCAACCATTTTGGTGGGTAGGTGAATTCACCACCCAAATTTTAGGACCTATTTTAGTGGGGGTTGGGATGTTCGCTGGGAGCACGGGCTTTTGACCCATGGCCAGTTGGCTTCATGGAACAAACGCCGACGAAAGGGGCAGAGAGCACCGGGGCTCGCAGATTTTGGGCATATTAAAAAGAAGAAGCCAACGAAGCCGATTCCACCCGAGAAGGTTTTTGGGCATCCCTAGTTTCTTCTGGAGTTTCCACGACCCTTCGACTACTGGGCGACCCTCTTTCTTTCGGGCAATGGCCCTAGTCTTGAAGGGTCATGGAGACTCCAGGTAGTAGTTAGCCCAGGTGAATGGCGACCCTTTTAGCATAGGTGTAGGATCCTGTCATGTTTGGACAGGTCATACAGATGCGTTGGAACCCCCTTGGGTGTGCCAAACTGGCCCAAGCAAAAGCTGTCCGACAAAATAGACTGCGGGTGCTGCCCTTGCTAGTGTCGGATTCCTTTTGCATGCCACATTTCCGCGCTCCTACAAGCACCATACTACCGCACAGACGATATTGTTTCAACAATTGCATATTTTTGTATTCCCTCGGCTTTTTCTTATCTTGGTTCCCAGCCAGCCCCTTAGCTTTTGAGCTTTTTCGTGTTTAGTGGTAATTGCCATTTAACCCAGTAAAGTTATTGTTTTTTGCACAGCATCTGAGGACAGCATGTGTTTCCCATCCAAGAGTCATTTTTCTTTGAGCAACGAGCCCTAGCAGGCACCATGGTCTCGCTCTTTGCCGCCACCACCGGCGGAATCGACGCTGCGCTTGAAGTTTCTACCGTTGCTATGGAACCTAGAGGGTCCCTTTTAATCGATTTTAGAGGTACTGTGGATGGACGAAATCCGTTTGCACCACTTTGGAACCATGGGATACTATTCTTTGTTGGTGTTTGCAAGGGATTCATCCTTCCAGAGTTTCATAGGTGGTGCGGGAGTTCGTCCATCCACAGTAGGTCCATGAAGTCAGGTTCCATGACATAGATGGGAGGGTAATTGGTTTGGTTTGGGGAATTGAAATGACTTGGAGGGTAAATACACATAAGGACCTCCCTCCAAGGATAGCTGGTTGGGTTCCATGTGAATCTGGTCGGATTTCCTCTAGGCTGGTTTCAAGACCTCGGCCTTTTCGTTGCACATTCGTTGTGAGCTTCTTTTCAATGCGGTTCAGGTGGAACAATGACCAGCTCTGCCGAAGGCGAGCGATTTCATACCAGGGTGCGATGGGCTGACCAGAAGTGTTTTGCTCTGGGCTCCCTGGATTCATGCTTCCGATTGTTGTAGCATGTGGGCTTGCCTCTCAATAGGGCACCCCTAAGATTTGACTCACTTCCTGAGTTCATGAACTTCAAGCTTTTTGGGCACCACTTTACTGGTAGATGTAAAGTTTGGACTTTTTTTGGGCCATTCACTCAGCAAGTGAGTTGGTGATTTTCCTTTTGGTGTCCTTTAAGGCCATCCCAAAAAATCGGTGCCACGGACCCGATCACCTCTGTGATTTCCTGTGGCAAGGATTGGATGGAGACTTTGGATCTCTTGAACCCGGTGGGCCACTTTGCTCGCTACGCATTTCTCTTCTACATTGCCTTTTTCACCATCGCGGTGCTCCTTGCCTGCAAACTGCCTTGCGTTATGGTAGTGTTTCTGTTTTTTTTGGTAGTGTGTTTGTTGTCTCTGGCTGTTGTTTGTTGTTGTTATTTGTTGTGTGTGGTTGTTGTGGTTGTTGTCGTTGTTGTCGTTGTGGATGGTGGTGGTGGTGGCCGACGGAGCGTACAAAAGCAAACACTTTACACTTTTCAGCACATGCATTTTGCATGGCAGGCGCAGCACTTCGTGCATGCTTGAGGTCAACAACACTATTTGCCCGAGCGAGCGGGTCGCACGAGTTTTGGATCTAGGGTTTCTACGATGGTTTCGTGTTGTTCGATGTTGTTCGTTGTTGTTGGTTGTTGTTGGCTGTCGTTGGTTGTTGTTGGTTGCTGTTGGTTGTTGTTGGCTGGTTGTATGGTCGGTTGGTTGGTTGGTTGGTTGGTTGGTTGGTTGGTTGGTTGGTTGGTTGGTTGGTTGGTTGGTTGGTTGGGTGGTCGCGCTTGTCTTGAGGTGTCAGTTGCTTGTTGTTAGGCGGGGGTGAGGGAATGAATTCCATGAATGCCTTGCGGGGTTGTAGGCCCTAGGGAATCTCTAGGTATTATGGGCAAACCCCGAAACTGATATAGAAATTAGCAAGGGGACTGTGTCTTTGTTTTGAGGCAAGAGGCAATAGCAGCTTGAACTTGCACGGATCCGCCCAGGTTCAACATTCTGACTGGTATCTTTGTGGAAAAAGCTTTGCATCTCTCAGACCAGGCGGGCAGGAGGCGAAGTGCTGAGGCAAAACGAAGTCACGGGAGTGGAACTGGTAAGGCTTTCTATTACGGAATATCAGACAAATGGTTGGTGGACACAAACCCTGTAAAGGATGTTCACCAAAGTGTCCCGGTTAGAATTCATACCCATATCCACAGTTAGCGAGTTGTTCACATACAGTATTACAGGAAGGTAAAATTGGGCATGCCAAGTTTGCGCAAAATACGAGAGGCACATATATTCTTAAACAGCCTCTCTCTTTTTTCCATTGCACCCCCGCTAGGATCTGCTTTGCTAGCCCTCCCCCCCCCCCCCCCCATGTCGCTTTCCGGTATCTTCCAACAAGCGTTATTTTCTGCGCAAGCTGCTATTCGATACGCATTTTGCGTTTGCGAGCGTTTTTAGTAAATGAGCGCCTGGAAAGCGGTATGGCTTTTTTTTTTTTTGACGGAACCCATTTTTGGATCGTTTTTCCCGTACTGTCATTTTTTGCTAACCGGTGGCCGTATTTGGCCGTATGCAACCCGTATTTGTTCAACAAATTGTTGACAAAAAGCCGTAAATGACCGTATGGTCTGTTTTTATGGCTCAAGGCGTATGGACAGAAAAAAAAAAAAAAAACGTCATATATGGGTTTCCAGGCGCTATTTCGTCTTCAAGCGTTATATCAGTTGGCTGGGAGGCTGCTTTGCAAAGGAGTTGAGGTTCCTTTGGAGCACACTTTGCGCAATGTGGTCAATGTTTTGAACAGAACAGCAGCTTTCCTCGCACAACGAGCCTACATTCCCGCTACAACAGCGCACATGTCCGCCACACGAGCGCACATCAAAAAGTGCTAGTTTTGTCATGCGGCACCCGCTGGAAATCTTGCACATGAGCAGCATAAAGACTCAGCCCACACGATGGACAGGTTCTTCTTTTCGATATCCGCATCCGAGCGAACTTTCTTGAACCGAGCGTTTTTCAGATAAACGCGCGGTAATCTGCACAGCGGGAGGGGGGGAGAAAACAAACGCTCATCGGAAGATTCGGGGTTGTTTTTGGTTTTATATGTTGCTCACTTGCCCAAGGCCAATCGACGGACTCCAACCTTTTGGTTTGCTCTTTTCGTGTTCCCATTTTTAGTAAACTGAGGTTGCCTTCCGTTAGAGCCCTTTTCACATGGGTTCTGGACATGGGCTCTTTGGGGGTTCGAAGGGGCCGTTCCGGAGCTGGAGCTATCTGGAGCTGGTATGGACATGCGCGTTGGGAGCCGAAATCGGAGCTACCGATCGGAGTTCAAAAATGAGGAATAGTTCATGGCTCGCACGAGAAAGTGACAAGGCAGCCGGTGGGATGGATATTTGGATCCCGTCCATGTTTGGACAAACTGTTTTAGTGGGGTTTGGATGGATATTTGGATCCCGCCACCTGTCCATGTTTGGGTCACAAGCGATTTTAGTCGGGGTTTGGACGGGCAGGATACTGATGCTGCCTTTGCCATTGAATGCTTGGAACTATTGGAAGGGCAAAGGGGCTCGCCGGGCTTCGGACCTTGATTTCCCCCACAAGGGTATAGGGCAAGCCCTTTCTGAAGCGAACATCTCTGGGGAGCCCAATGAGAAGCCTAGGACTGACGAGCCCTGGCCTGCAAGATGGCGTGTCCCAATGCTTCACTTTGAGGGGACACACCTGCCTGATTCAGCAGTTTCAAGTCGGACTCAACATTCCCTCATCTCAAAGACAAGCTCATGGAGATGAAGAAATGGAAGAATTGGCGATTTGTCCTGACCCACTTGTTGGCAAGCAAACGAAGCTCACCCCCCGTTTGTCGTCCCCCCCCCTTGTCCTGACAACCCAACCCAGCGTCGCGCGCTCGGCCCTGTCTCGTCCCTCGCAATCGTCAGGCGGACCGAGCGGTGGAGTTCATGAAGCAAGAGAAACTCGCAACAGCGCATTTTGCTTGGACGGACGTCAGGACTTTAACTTTTTGCCAACTCATGGGTTTTCCGTGTTAGACCACTAAAAGTTATTCACCTTTCGCAGGGGAGCAGATTTCGCAACCGAGTTTTGACATCTTTCGACCAATCGGTTTTCAAGGGTTATCAGCTGTCAACAAGGTGTTGACTCGCTGATGTTGAAGGGACATTTGGCGGTGAAGAACCCCTTGCTTGCCTTGCGCCTTTTGGGGATATTTCGGCATTCCTTTGTTGGCCGACCTTCTTTCTAAAGAAAGTCAACACCAACTGACTTCTGAAAACCAACAACAAGTGTTGTGGCTGACTTTTGTTCAACTGGGAAAAAGTGAAAACCAACAAGTGTTGTGGGCTGACTTCTGCTACACCACCGGGAAAAAGTGGAAGCCCGCTACTTGTGGGTCCCGAGGAAAGAGGACGCCCAGGACCTGCGGCAGATATGCAACCGCATCGCAACTCGCCTTCGGGAGCGGCGGGAGCGAGAGACGACTTTGGGGTCCGAGAATGTCCCGAAGCCTGGTGGCTGAAACGACCCCCCTGCAAAAAGCGACTCACATTTTTGCGGGTTTAGTGGAAAACGCCTTGAATTCCCCAAAAGTTAAAGTCTAAAGATCCGTTGCCCAATAGCAGTCAAGGAAGGATACACCTAAACAAATCGCGACTACATGGCCCTATGAAACACCTGGATGTTACACAGGATGTTGTCATTGGCCAAAATGTATCCTTTAAGGACTAGGGGGGTGGTTCTGTGTGCTGTAAATGTTATGTGGCGGGGTGGGGGTCTTGGTGGCTCTGTTGAGTTAAGTGTTGCCTCTTGAGCTTTTGGGCATATGGCCTGTCCAGGCAGGTTGCTTCTATAGCCAGCAGCGGCCAGCTGTTTGCACGGGGTCTAAGTCTGGCACATTTAAGCAGAAGTCCAACTTGAATTGGCAACCAACAGGTGAGTTTGCAACTACTTGTAGAATTGGAACCCTGGCCGTGATTCAGCAAAACAGTCTAAATGACCCTCATAATACCCATCAAATAGGTTGTCCCCTTCACGACAGATCCATATCCTTTGAATGCCTTTGATCCTTCTTTGTGCCTGACAAGAGTCTGTCCAGCCTCTCTGTCACGTTGGACGTTGCATTTTCCGTGGTTTGCCATTTTCCCTCTTTGACAGACCCATTTAGTGGTTCTCAAATTCCATCCGCTGGTCACGTTTCGGCTGGGTGTTGCGCAGACCTCGGTTCAAGCTTCACACTTTGGCTTCCGGGAGGATATCACATTTGAGGAGTGCTCATTTCAACACCAATGACTTCGTGTCAGGTGCACTTCGGTTGATCACACCCGAAAAGTGCGGTTTCTGGAGGCAAACGTTGCGGGCGTGCATGCTGTTGCTCAACACGAGGTTCTTTGAATGCGGACTCAGGATAGGGACGGGAACGGCAAGATTGCGTGGCCCGAGTTTGAATCGCGGCTTGGCTAAATGCGGAGAAAGCTACCAGCTGTTACCTGTTCTCTTGGAGTTGGAAATTCTTACCTGTCCTTTAGTTCTTTTTCCGTGGGACATGTCTGTTAATAGTGTTAAGGCTCTCTTGTGTCTTATGTGAGTCCACGCGCTCTCATTAGTTTCTGGACCTTGTGCTTTGTGGGAAGACCATTTTGGTGGCCAGCAAAAAGTTCAGACTGGTTTTGGCCAATCTGCTCGATCGGAAGTCACGTTATCACACCTCGAGCGTGAGTGTCACGCATGCGAGGTACATGCAATACAGCGGGGATGGATTCGCCAGACTGAAGGCGTGCGGCTTGGATGTCCACGACGTCCACGAGCTCCTCGCTGGCCCGAAAAAATGGTTTTGAAGTGTTTGACCTTCCATTTGCTCAGGCATGTTGTTTTCTCACCCTCTTGGTTGCAAAGGGGATCTGTCACTATTGGAAGTTTTGTCCAGGGAGCTTAAGTGAATGAAACTGACCTTCCGTTTTTCAGGTTTGGGCTGGGACTTGTTCATGGTTTATCTTCACCGATTTAGGTAAATAAGAAATCCTGCAAGATAGCTCTTAAATGGTTCACCTCTTGACGTGTCGGCTTTTCACCATTTAACAGAGGCTTGTTCGTGTGGATTGTTGCTTCTTGGCCTCCCATTCGACAGAAAAAGAGCCCAAGAAGGCGTGCCTTCCAACAAATATGTACACACCATGTACCTCTTCCCAGTCATGGAAGTGGACAGAGGTCTTTTTCCAGAGAGTCTTTCCGAGCTCCTCCTGTCGGCTTTCAGTCTTCTGGAATGAAGTGGGAACCTCATGGCTACCTTCGCCATTGTACAATCGTGCAATGGTACAATGGTGGCAACCCCCCCACCTATCTACCCAGGCAACGCGTGTCCAAAAAACGGGGGTCCCCAAAAAGGAGCTTCCCTGAAAGGTGATGTCCAGGTCCTTTGCAAGGTTTTTCGTCAGCCTCACCAACGGCTCACCGGCGGAGTACGTGGATATCGAGGATTTCATCCACCACGCCATGAGGCGAAAGTTTGGGTCACGCAGTCAGCCGCCAAAGCCCCGAAGTTTGACCCTTTTGCTTGCCTGCTATTGGGCAACGGATCTTTAGACTTTGACTTTTTGGTTGAAATCAAGTTGGGTTTTCCGCTAAACCCCCAACAAGTTACAGTATTCACTTTTTGCAGCAACCAAGCTTGGAACTTTCTGGTTTAAATCAGCGAAACCCAGATGAATAAACCCCAGATGAATACATGTCCTCCAGGGCAAGCAATTAAAAACCTGGACGTTTAATGTTGGCCCCCAGATTAATCACCACTCTGGTTGATTTTGATGGGGTGTCCAATTTTCCTTTTGGCATTCAGCCCCCTGTAGATAACAATCCCCCAAATCATAGAACGGGACCCGACAGTTTCATGGGTACCCAGGGCTCCCTTGCTGTAAAATGTTAAGTCTTTTTTCGCCCGTGGTGGTTTCCAGCATCCGGTTCAAGAAGTTTGTCCTGGCGCTTTTTAGTGGGGACTTTCATTTATCCCACTCATTTGTCACGTTTAGCAGGGGATGCGAGGACAGGCCAGTAATGTGAATTTAGGGAAGGCGGCAGTTTGGAGTGAATTGCAGGTACCTCTATTTCTAAGGGTTTGTGTATTACACCCTGGGAATACACCCACTGGGTATTGACCCCATTTAGGCACATTTCCGGATACAACCGTGTTATTTTGAACCATTCTGGGTCATTTCCCAAGGGTGTAATCCCAGGGTGTAATACAAACACTCTCAGACTATTGCAGGTACCTCTATTTCTGTGTAAGGTCGGTCGCCGGCAAGAGCGTGGCAGGATGCTACTTGTACGTAATGAACTTTTCAACTTCGGGCCCAGCTACAGCCAGAGGAGGGTCAGGGTCAGCAGGGGGACATTCTTTCCGGGAAGGAAACAACAGACCGTGCCATTCGTTCGCAGAGAATTTGGAAGCATGTGCTTACTTTAGTTGTTTTTTGTATATTATTTTTGGATATGCTTCCTTTGTTCAAGCCAATTGGGGATTCATGATTGATTTGAATCAAAGCAAGTACTGAGTTATGATGCTTAAATAGGGAGCCACCTCAAAAGTAGTGGGCGGACATGAATCCCCACCAAAATGATCTCCACCAAAAGCTAGGGTCCCTAATCACGAAAGGTAGCCTCAAGGAGACTAGCTTGAGTTTGTCCTTGCGTTAGCAAGGCTAGACTAAGGGGGGGTTGGGGGTCGGTCCGGCCGCAAAACCAATGAAATATCGCCCCCCCCCCCCCGCAGCTTCGCTCCTTTTTCCGCTCTTTTCGCTCGCTTCGCTTCACACTTCCATCCGCTTTTCGCACCGTTTTGCTCGTCAAGTCACGGTGCACCTTGTCCCTTGCTCGCTTCGTCAGAGCCCAATTTTCATGGTCAACAAGTACTTCCCCTTTTCGCGGAACGGAAATTGCCTCTTAACATAGTCAAGCTTTTGAGCTCCATGCGCACCTGAATGGTATTCGACCCAAGCTCCTTCCTTTCATTAGGGGGACCACTTTACGGTATCCTACCTTTCGCGTCACCCCTTCTCAAGTTAAAACTCATCGCCATATCAGCTTCAGGTTATTTCAATCTGGGATGAGCCCATGTTCCCCGCTTGTTCTCGGAGAATCCGCCGCATCCTGTGGTCTTCTCAGGCAGGCAGGCAGCTGACAAAAGCGAGCAAAAAGCGAGAAGAACAAGATCAATTTGGCTGTGGCTCAAAATTAAATAGGAGGGGTTACGCAGGTTTTGGTCCATGTTTCCACTTACCAGGGTTCCATTGTGGCACCGGTTGTTTGAGCCACAGCCATTTGTCTGAAAATCGGAGACTTCCCACTCACTTCCCGAGTTTCTAAACTTGAAGCTTCTCGGGGCTGGACCATGGTGGAATGTTTGGCCACCCCCCAACTGGGTACCCTCCAATAAACCTGCCCAATCACTTCCGTTTGCTGAAGCCTATGATGTTTTGTTTATGTTTCCAATGTTTCAAGGGCAACATATCACTATTGGACATATGAGTTCTTTTTTTTCCAGGGGACGAACGCAAACATGGAGGAATATATGTTGCTTGGCAAATCGCTCTCCTTACTCTTTGCCTCGCTTTTTTTCTTCTTTCGAGGCTGCGAGGTTCGGCGACCAGCATCCAGGTGAAGTCTGTGGCTACCCAGATGATGCGCTACCAGGAGGAGGCCGTCGTCCTCATTTTCTGACAAACATTGGTCCTTTCGAATCGACCGGAAGTCAAGAAACCCTTTTGTTTTTAACATATGTGGGGTCTCGGCTTTTGGCTTTCCCAACGGTTGGGTTCCCATTCTTCAGCACCACAGGTGGCAATCCTTCAATTTCTGGGTCCCTTTCGCCCGGGCAACTGGGGTGATTGAGGGGCGCAACCTTCGGTTGCCCCGTGAAACTACACCGTTCACCTCCATCTGATGAACAAAGTCCCATTGCATACTGATGGACGAAATCCATTTCGCACCACTTGGAAGCCATGGTTGGAACCATGGTTTGTTGGCATTTACAGGGGAATCATACGATTTGCGGGGTTCTTAGGTGCAGGATTTCGTCCACCCACAGTAACACATTTACCGGCTTTGGCGAGCCCCTCGTGCTCTAGGCTGAGTTTTGGGATGCAAGCCTGTCAGGAAATCTGTTTGGATGGTGCAGGGTCCCTGGCGTTTTTCCTAGAAGCCCATCTGCTTTGTTGGGTAAACAAAAGTTATTTATGTCCCAGGGGGCCTCATGACTTCTAGTGAGGGGTACATGGTCGTGCCACACCCCTAGGATAGCTGTTTCCCTGGTGACGTTTCTGGACATGCTGAGAAGTTGGCCTGTTGCACATCCCCAGGGTCCACTGAATGGCACAGAGCGGACAATTCATGTCTTGGAGACTCTCCGTTTTGTCGGCGGTGCTTCCAATCCCTTGGCGCCCTGATAGTCCCCTGTTCTGTGGGTTTTCTGTCACTGGCCTGGGAATCTTGTTGCGGTTTCGACTCGTTGATTTAAACGTTTGCAATCCCAATCCACTCTTCCGGGTTGCTTCGTCTTGATTCGGAGGTCGTGGAAAGATGGGTCAGGGGTATTCTGTGTGAGTTAATCTGAACCACAGGCTTGTTCTCAAGTAATCCTTAGTTGGTGGTTTGGATTTGGATTTGAACTCCAGGTTCTTGAGGGTAAATGGGAAGCCAGCCCCTAGCCACCAAACCACCAAACCACGAGGGAAGCTGTTGTTCTGGGCATTCAGAAGGGAGCATGTAGGGAGGTTCTCAAATGAGTTTCAGAGGCTATGCATAAAACCTACATGTTCAAAGTATTATGTCTTTGAGACGTCTGCCCTTGAAACCCAGAAATTGGTTGTGTGTGCCCCTCCCACCCTTTCTTTTGGGTAACGACCGCATTTTTGACGGGCCCCTTGCTTTTGCCCAAGGACCTCATTGCTTACGGGTGAAAAGGAGACTTCAGGCACCTGACCTCGAACTACCCACAAGAAAGGGATTTCTAAGGAAATTTTGAGGGTCCAGGTACCCTCCAGCCACGGGACCCCACCCAAAAAGCCAAAAACGGAGGTGCAGAACGCCTTGATGTGGAAGGTGGATTCCCTGGCCCATCAGCTGAGGAAGCTGCTTTTGGCGAGAAAAGAGTCGACTGCATGAGCTCTGCACAACCTCGAAACAGCTCCAAATAGAGGAGCCATGTGCTCAAGAATACGGTCGATGGTTGCGAAATGGGTTCGCACCATCTAAGGAGCCATGCTTGAAATCAGTGTTTGCTGGGGATTTACCGGGGAATCGAATCATTTCAGCGGATCTTAGGTGGATTTAACTCAATGTCTCCAAATGGCTGCTCAAAAACCTGCTTGGCAAAGTTTTGCACCTTGGCAAATGGAACCAAAGACTAAGACCTGCGGTTTGGCCTAGCTCTGGAGGAATTAGCGTTGCGCCCCAAGCGCAGCCATGTGCTCAAAAATATGTGCTATTTTTCTCTTGTTTCTTTTCAGGAATGCATCACTGCCTTTGAGTGTGTTTTTCCTTTGAGGGGGACGGTCTTAGGCAGGTTGCCTTTCATTTTTTCACTCACCTGAAGGGTTTGCTCTCACTTGCCCACGGACCCAAAAGGTCAGTCAGCACCTTTTGCTTCTTGGTCCTTTGGGTAAATGACGCCCTTTCGCCAAACCCCAAGGCTGAGGCCACGACTTTTGAAATAGAGAACTCTGCATCTAAAATAGGGGTGGCCCTGGGAATAGTTGTCTTCCCTGAGTTCCTGGAATTTATGCTGTTTAGGACGAGAACCTTAGTGGTGAATAACAAGTTGTGACTTTTCTCGCCAATCCGCTCAGGGAGGGAATTTGTGGAGAAGACTCAACAACTGAACTTGAGGAAGTCTTTCAGTGTAGGTTCGCTTTCCTACCAGGGTCACAATAAATCCTGGAAAAGGGCCCTGTTTTCCTCAATCCCCCCCCCCACCCCCTTCTCCCAATTGTGTTGAACCTTTTGGTTTCCTTTAAACCCACCCCGAAAGAGTACCCTCAAAAACAGACACCCCCATGGAATTTAAGTTGTGCAGACGCGCATGTGCGAACGGCAACATGCAGCCGAGTTTTTTTTTGCACTTGGGCTGAAAGCCGCGCATTTGCCGAAAACTCGGCGCCTGAGCCCCCTTGTTGGATTGCGTTTGAGGTGAACTAAAAATAGGCAGGCTGATTGTGGATCGGGCAACCTCGCGAACGCTGTTTGAAGGGACCTGGACCCTCCAGAATTCCCTTAAAAAGGGGTTATAGCTCCAACGGGATGGGGTGAAGTCCCCGTTTTTATTGTAGATTATTGGGCTGTTGATTGTTGGCTATCCCAAATAAAGCCTAAGCCGCTTTCAATCGACTTGTAATTTGAGGGTCCAGGGAGACGTGTGACTTGCCGGCGGAGTTCTGCGATGGCCAGTTGCCGCGGTGAAGGCAAGGATGGATCCGGTCAAACTCTCGGCACAAACATGTTTGTGCCCGTTTCATTGCGTGATAGAAAACTGTTTTTGTTTTCGTTTGTTTCATTCGTTTGTTTAATCAAAGCCCTGTCACATGAACTGTGGTTTGTTTTTTGTTGTTCAAAATAAAGGATGCTAGCATCTTAGTGTTGTTGACATCATTCGACATCGCAACGTAAGGTTCATAGCTCAAGATGCAACCATGACAGTGCTGGGGGCAAGAGCTATAGACTGAAGAGGTGCATGTCAACATGTTCTCGCTTAGAATGGATGCGCAGTTTGACCGTCACTCATGAAGGGTGCGGAGAACCGCACGTCAGCTGAATGTACAGTAGAGGGCAACGGACCCAAGATCTAAGACCTACGCAGAGGTCCGTTCCGCCCCAAGTCTTCAAGTGGCGGTGAGGTACGCTTCAAGCTTCTGGCCACACGGAACACACGGAACATACCGGGTCACAAATAGAGAACTTCCATTTGCTGAAATGAAGATGTGTCGTTTGCTTTGTTGGCTTTGAAGGGAATCTATGACAGGACATAGTTTCCCCTTTTGTCCAGGGCGCGAAAAAATGCAAAAGGAGAAGATGGTCCAGTCTTCCAGGACCCTTTCTCAGTTTTCAGATGTTTCGGGCAACCAATTCTACCAGACATTTTTTTTCGGCCTTCCACCCGTTGGATCGGTTTCTGTCGGCCAACCCCTGCCATAGCCTTCCAGGACCCGGGAGGGCTCGCTTGCTTTCCGCCCGGAGGGCACCTAAATCAACCACCTAAACCAGTCCTGCACCAAACCCAGCCCTAAACCGACCCTGAACCACCCTAACTTTGGTTCATTTTGCCAAGGGATGTTAGGACTGAATCACTTTTTGCCAACTCATGGGTTTTCCGTATTACACCCCTAAAAGTTAGTCACTTTCACTTTTAGCAGGGGAGCAGATTTCGCAACCGAGCTAAGCCAACCCTAGACCAACCCTAAGTCCACCAGAGCGCCCACTTTGCCGAGACCAAATCGCGCTACCTTCCCTGAAACCGTTTTCCCTGGCGCCCTGCGTGTGCCGGGCTCGCCGCGAATCCAACGCATGAAACAAAGTTCGAAAAAAGCGAGTGGCTTGCGTCTTGCGTCGTTGTTTTTTTCTTTTTCGGGAGGCCTTTTGTGGCCTGCCGGCAAGCTAGAAGGCAACCAGCCATTTATATCATGTTGGAAGTATTCCGGAGACCCCAACCTGCATGTTCAACCGTTCTTGTGCTGTAGTGCGGAGACCCCAACCTTTGTGGTCAAACGTTCAAACGTGCTGCCATTGTTTCTTTGATTGCTGGTTGCAACCAATGTCTCACAACTGACACGACCCTTTGCTGATTTGAGCCTGGCTTGAAGCAGCTTCCTTCTAAATCCTCGGCGGTTCCAGCAGAGTCTATGGCGAACAGTGGTCCCATCTTCCGAAGGCCGTTTTGGGCGCCCAGAGAGTTTTTTGTTTTTTTGGGTGGGGGGGGGCGCGTTTTCCGAAGGGCGCCCAGATACATTTTTATATATTTTTTTTTGGGGGGGAGGGTGTTTTGTGGTTTTGTGTTCTTTTGCTGGAGCGGATCCTGTTTGACACTTTGACCCGAACGTCACTATGTGCCTACCCCCTTTTTTTTCTTCAGGTGAGGTGAAATTTAAGGGAAGCCAACCCCTAAGCAGATGGACCAGCGTTTGGCACAAGGCACATTTAAAGAAGCAAACGGGGCCCTGGTTTTCTGCAAAGGGAAGCGCTTGCCAAGAAAGGTTGTTGCCTATCTCTCGTCGTGAGTTTGTCGGGGCTGTGGGATCAACACCTTGGAGATTCTAAAGACGGCGGGAAGAAACGAGAGACGAGAGCAGGACATGTCTTCAGGGGAACCACCAGGGTTCCCTTGGAGACGCCCCGAAAACATTCTGCAGGTATCTAGGAGTGCTTTTAGTTTTGCTGTTTGTTGGAGCTGTTGCTTCTTTTCTTGAGAGGGGATCCTGCGCTTTTGCAGGTATCTTGGAGTGAAAGCGGCACTTTTGCAGGCGATCCTGCAGACATACGAAAGCACACTCGGGTGCTGTTTATGAAGCCTCCTTCTGGAATGGATATGTTTACCTCAGTGGATCCATTTACCGTATAGCAGGTAACCAAGGAACCACCAAGAGCCCAGAAGAAACATGGCTCAATACATCTTGAGCTGGGATGCACTGGGTACAGGCGGAAACATGAAGATAAACTCTTGTCTATTGTCATGATAACTTCGGATCGGCCCCTAGATGATTTCCTTACAAGAGAGACCCTCCCTGATTTGTCTCAGGCAACCCTTTGGAGGTTTGGATTGGTGGTTTGGAGATTTGAAGCCCTCGCTTTGAGGGCAACTGGTTCATCGAACGCGGGCCCTGGCTGGTTACTCTCACTTCCTGAGTTCATGGACTTTAAGAATCGTTCCGGGCTTGTTTTCGGACTTCACACTTTTCGAAGGAAGCGCTTTTTTGGTGGTGCACAAGTTCCGGGTGACGACTTTTGTTTTTCGTTCCAGGTGTTTTCTGGGACTTTAAAATTGGCAGGCGTGTCTTAGTGGCGCACCAGTTCCTCACTTCCTGAGTTGGTGGACTTTAAACTTTTTGGAAAGACCATTTTAGTGGTAAATAACAAGTTCTGACTTTTTTTGGCCAGTCAACTTGCGAAGTGAGGTTCCATGACGCGTTTGTTCGGCCCCTCCGCATCGGAAAACTCGGCTCGGCTGGAGGAGTTCCCGGCGCTGGACTGCTGGTCCCGGCAAGGCGCCGAGGGCATCGAGGCAGTGGCCAGTGCCCGGGCCTCGGGGCCTCGATCCTCGCCAGGTTTTGCGAAATCCGGTGGCGAAATCCACCGTCGGACCGTTCAGAAACCCTGGCGAATGATGGCTCTCCCGCAAATACCGGCAAGTTATGACTTCTACTTTGGTTTCAAAGTGGTGCAGGAAAAAGGAGTTCGTCCATCCACAGTAGTGGCGCCACTGGTGTTCGCGGAGTCAGTTTATGGGTTTCAACTGGTGCCAAGTGGTGAGGGTGGAGTCATTTTATATGGGTTTTATGGGAAGCGATGGGTGGAAGAGACGTATGCGCGGTTTGCTACCACCAGCTGTAACCATGGTTATTCCCCATGATTCTTGACCGATACTTATCATCATCACCAATACCCTAGAGTATGACCATGGTTATGGCCTACTTCCTGGTTTGAACCCAATGCATGGACAGCCGCCCTTTCTGCACTTCAGCGGGCCAGGGTTCGCTTCAGGTTCTGCCGGTCATTGCCTCACTGGCGCTGCCAGATGCCGCCCACCGGGAGAAGCGAGGCGGGAAGTCCAGAGATGGCGAGCGCTCCGGACCGCAGAGGTGTTGGGGGGTTTTGTCTCAGACCAACATGGGAAGCTAGGTCCCCCAGTAGTGCCCTTTTACAGTTCCTTTTTTTGGGGGGAAGGTTCCCCACTAAACTAGACTACAGGAAAAAAGGGTACCCTTATTCTAACCTCAAACTACTGGAGGACCTAGGAAGGCTGTCGGAATCCGCGGTGATCAAAGTCCGAAACTTGGATGTTTAACCCAAGTCAGGTACCTAAGTCAGGTAAGCAGGCTGCAACCATGGTAGGAACAGTGCCAACCCCAAGTTGGAAACCATGGTTATGAACGTGTAGATAGCCACATTCATAGCCT